CCGCCTCCCGCCCTTCTTCTTCTCTCGGAGCAAGGAGGAGCTTGACGAATTCAGCCTTTTCATCTCGGAATCGTTTCCCTCACAATCCCATTTCAGCTCGTCCGTCGATTTCCAGGTATATCTGTTTTCCAACGCTTTATGTGTTAAAAAAAAATTGAATCTATAATGTTGCCAACTTGCCATTTGTGAGAAAACCTTAAATTTTGGTGTTTGTGCTTTATGGGTTCTTTTTGTAATCGGATTCTGAATTCAAATTTGTGGGCTTTTTAATAATTTGGTTAAAAAAATTTGTAATTTGGTATTGAAATTCGTGTAGAGTTCGAGCAACTATTCTGCAAGAAGATGAAGAGAAAGTGGTAGTGGAGGAGTCCTTTGAGTTCAAGGCTTCAACCTTCGATGAATTGAAAGCAAGCAGTGAGAATTCCCCAGAGAATTCGTCTTCAAGTGCTTTTGAGAGCTGGGTTATCAAGTGTGAACAAACCTTCAACATCTTCCTTACGGTAAATCATAACTCTTGTTAAATTAATCGTTTTACTGTGCTTGCCTAGCTCCAATGTCGATTTTTCGAAGAAATGTTATATCATTTGGTAGCTTTTTTTATTCATTCAGTGCGCCTACCGAATGTGAAACACAGATTGCAGTTTGTTATCTTCTTGTTGAATATTCAGGATGATCCTAGCACTTTAATGTTAAGATGTCGTCTTAGTTGATTTATTATACACTTGATTTGATACTCACTTTTCGGTAGCTTAGGAGCTTTTGTCTCTGGTAGTTGTTGTTGATGTTGGATTTTAATTCAGTTCTACTAATCGTTCCAGGATACAGTGATAAAGGTACTTGATACTCTGTACCACGACCGAGACTATGCAAGGTTCTTCGTACTGGAAACTATCGCAAGGGTTCCTTACTTTGGTGAGTGCTACTACGCCATTTTTAGTAATAATTTTCTGCTCTGAAAGCGTAAATGTAAAAATATGCAAAGAAATTTCTTTTCAAGCAAGATGAATTTAAGCTTCAAACGATTGGGGACAACTCACATTTGAAGGCAGTGCATATATATTGTCACTTTAGTAATTCAAGAAAATGTACAGCCAAATCATGCATGCCCTCACATACATCAAAATTTGACCGTACCTTCTATTATAATTATGATTTGATCTGATATAGGGAGTGCTTCGTATTATCATCTTCCGCAGGTTAGGATGATAATGATTGATTTCATGGAAGGGTGTGCCCTTACGTTCCTCTTAATTTTCTCTCAAGTTGTGCACTTTACCCGTTTAGGAATATGTTAATCCATTCTAATGACCTTTGTGGATCAATGTGTTCTTCTGTAGTTGTTTTCCTAATATCTACTGTGGTTTCTGGTTGCGAGTTTTAAGTCATGTCTTTGTTGTGGTGTATCTTTGGCAGCTTTTATGTCTGTTCTGCACATGTACGAGAGTTTTGGCTGGTGGAGAAGAGCAGATTATCTGAAGGTGCATTTTGCAGAAAGCTGGAATGAGATGCACCATTTGCTTATCATGGAAGTAAGGATCTTCTTTCTGTAATAACGTATTATTATCTACATATTTTGGTTGATATAATTAATAGAAGATGGATCTAATTGCAGGAATTGGGGGGAAACGCTTGGTGGTTTGACCGCTTTCTTGCTCAGCACATCGCAGTCTTCTATTATTTTATGACTGCCTTTATGTATGTAATAAGCCCAAGGATGGCATGTAAGTATGAGCATCTAGTTTTTAATGTACCATAATTCTTCTGCATTATCCTTATTGGTTGCAAACTTACAAGAACTCTCCATCTAAACCAAATGATTACGAAGTATATGGTTGACTTCGTTACTTAAAAGACTATATTGTAATCTCTACTTTCTGAATCCCTAGTTGCACCGAGTAGTCTTTTGTTGAATGCATTTTTGTGGTCATCTTCAGTATGTGACTGAGTCAAAGGGCATTGTAGAATAGGTAACCAGAACATTAGCCAGCACAGCGTTTATTTTAAAATGCATTTTCATGTATTTTGTTTGATCACTATTGCAGATCACTTCTCTGAATGTGTAGAGAGCCATGCATTTTCAACCTACGACAAGTTTATCAAGGCCCGAGGAGGTATGCTTTAGAGTTTTTCAGGACTTGATGCCTTAAGACCAAGTAGGTTGAATCACAAAAAGGTGTTTGTTGGATCACACCGAAGATTCTAAGCATGCAACATTCAAGTGATGCTCTTAATCGCTCAGTTGTAAAATGCAGTGTCTTACACTTACCTCAAATACAAATTCACTTAACCTGATGTGGTATTTTCTTCTGTTGTAGAGGATTTGAAAAAGATGCCTGCTCCTGAGGTTGCTGTGAAATACTACACTAGCGGTGACATGTACTTATTTGGTAAGTTTTGTCTGTTTTTCAATCTTTGTTTGTATCCTGAAAGGCAACAACGAAGACTTAACATTCCCCCCAAATTTTATGCAGATGAATTTCAAACTTCAAGACCTCCCAATTCTCGAAGGCCAAAAATAGGCAAGTCTTCAGATTCTGATTTTGTAATGGCAGTTCATACATCGACATGTCTATGAGTTTGCTCAATTTTAGACTTTGTTTTAGTATCCTGTTGAAACTAAGACGTCTCATTTCCGCTATATAAATAGTTGGGACGGGACCATAGTCTCGGGAACCTAAAGTAGTCTTGCACAGCTTTGTACCAACATGAGCGGGAACAAGTTCAGAATGATGGTATGACCTAATTTGCATTGTGTTTTTGACAAATGTTCCCTTTTCAGAGAATTTGTACGACACATTTCTGAACATAAGAGATGATGAAGCTGAACACTGTAAGACGATGAAGGCCTGCCAGACTCATGGGAACCTCTCGTCTCCTCACGCACGCACAGAAGACTCCTTAGAAGATGACTCTACCTGCGTCATTCCTCAAACAGATTGTGAAGGTATTGCAGATTGCATAAAGAAATCCGTCACAACAACGCCAGCAAAGTGATGATTACTCGATACAAGAGGAGAAAACAGGAAAATTAGGTACAATTAGTGAATGGTAAAAGAAATTTGTATACAGAGGAATGATATGGTATAGATCTAAATTACAAAAGAAGTATTTGGGTATTGAGGAAGAAGAAGACGTGGATGTGTTGTTCTTTCCCATTTCTTTGACGTTTTTGCCGGGGCTTTCGGTTTTAATGTACAACGTGCAGGAAAAACTTCGGAGATTAGACTCTTGACTAAAAATCCAGTTCTTCCTAATTACTTCTTGAAAAAAAAAAACTAAAAAATTACTTTTACGACTCAGAAGCGTATCTTAAAACACTTTTAGCTATTTCAGAAGTAATCTGGGGATGTGTCTTATATCATTAACATGTGGTAATCCAAACCCAACATCTTCTTTTTAGGAAAATTAATGAAAATGGTTTGAAAACTTTAGGATCCGTTTGGTATCTAACTTGAAAACAAAACTCAAAATTTTGAGTTTTTCTAAAAACACATGTTTTGATTTAAAAATTTTGAATCCAAAACCTTGTTTGGTATGCAACTTCTCTTAAACTAATAAATAAAAAAAAAAGTTAAGTTGAAGGGTTTGATGGGGGGCTTTCTCACAGTAAATTATGATCTTCTTGTTGGGGTTTTGAGCTTAAATAGTGATCTTCTTGCTGGAGTGGTTGAATCTCCAAAAAAAAGTCTAAAAACATACATTTTGTGTTTTCAACAAATAGGCTTTGTTTTCAAATATTTTTGGGTTGGAATTTTGAGAACTGTTTTCAAATCAAATACCAAACAAAGATCTTAAATTGTGACTCAAAACTTGTTTTTGAGTTAAAAATATTGGATTCAAATCCAATACCAAACAGGCTTTTAAGTTTTAATCAAAATGAAAAAAAATTATTGTAAATGAATAGTATTAAAAGTGACTTCTTAAAATAAAATTATTATTTTTGTTAAACAGTATCAAAAATATTTTGTTAAAACTTCCCTTCTTCTTGGGTGCATCCTTCAACTAGGTTGCGTTGGATTGTCGCAAACCGCCTGGGTCCGGCTGCATTTAAAACCAGAGAAAATATCAAACAGCAGTATCATTCCATCACTAGCAGCGAACTCTGTGGTCCACATCCATGGGCCATTTTTTCCAAGAAAATAAGTCGAACCATCGAACTGTCTTCTTGATTGATGACCAAACCGACTTGCACTATAGCCCATTGGCTATCCTACACTCTAATCATTCAATATTATCGCTATTCATCCACTTAGAAATGCGTATTGAAATTATTCTGATTCTCGTCTTGTTATGTCAATTACATATATATTAAAAATCTAATCGTTGAGGTGTTAGGAATAGAGCGAACATGCACATACTTTTCAAGTTTACCGTTTACCATAAATTAAAACTCTTTGTTTAGTAAAGCGAAAATTTTAGTGAGTTAGTTAATTGTTTGGTGAAAAAAAATCAATGAAAATCCATGAAAGTAGAACACGCAAATTCATTCTATTAATTTTGACACAAATGATACTACTTAAATTATTTTAAACTATAAAAATGAGTGATTCGAACTTGGTGGTACCAGGGAGACAAATAGATGTAAACCTTCACAGTCCTTTCTTTTTTTTGGAGACTACTTCAGTCCTTTCTTCTTCACCTTTTCTTTCTCTTTGAACGAGAGATTTTTCAATATCTAAAATACGGTCTGATACATTAAATATAATAATACAATTGATGAATACTTGAAACTTTTTTTTAACCAATTATATTTTGATATTTATGTACCAAATTGTGTTCTCAACGTATTAAAAACTTTATCGGTTCGGTGGACGATTCCATTTTATTAATTAGTGGTAGTTAGTTTCTGATACACCAGCTTTTAAATTAGTACGTCGCGTTCAATGCTCGATCGTCCCTCCCAAAATTTAAAAAATAAAATAAAATAAAACAAAAAATAATTACCCGCCTAACGTGGGCAGTTCTCGCCCTCAGAAACTCTTCAAGTCAAATGGTCGACTCACGCACGCTTCACCCAGATTAGACACACACAGCCTTCAATTCTCTCTCTCTCCTCTTTCTCTCACTACAAAGTCCTCAATTCCATTTCAGTCCCTCCAATGGGAGAGAGCTCAATGGGTGGTGCGCTGGTCCCCACCGTGAAATCCGAATACTTCCAGGACTCCGCCGCCGAAACGGCGCCGTTTGACGACGAGCCGGACAAGGACATGAAGTGTCCGATATGCATGCAGATCATCAGAGACGCCTGCCTCACCGCCTGCGGCCATAGTTTCTGCCACGTCTGCATTTCAACTCACCTCCGCATCAAGAGCGATTGCCCTTGCTGCGCTAGCTCCCTCACCCCCGCCAGCATTTTCCCCAATTTCTTGCTCGACAAGGTTCGTTCTTTTCCCGCTTTTTTCAGATTTGGATTTGGACGTGTTTTGGTGTTTGGTTGCCGAGAAAGTGCGCGAAAGTTTGCAACTTTTTATTGGAATTTGCAGTTGCTGAAAAATGTTTTGGATTCTCGGATGGCGAAGAATTTTGAACTTCTTAGTCGGAAATTGAACAAGGTCAGTATTAGGGCCCGTTTGAAAATGCTTTCCTAGAAAGCACTTCTACTCATAAGTGCTTTTATTTCAACAAGAACGTCGAAATATTTAATAAATTGTAACTTTTTCAGTAAAATCTTGTTAGAAACGTCGGGTTAGAAACGTTTTGGTTATTCGAAGGCGCTTTTAGCTAAAAGCATTTCCAAGCCTTAGTCATGTTTGTCACTATTAATCGAAATTTTGTATCTTTATTGACTTAATCTTGCTTAATTAACTCAAGTGGTTTAGAAATTTTACTGCTACGAAGTTATTGTGTTTGAATCCCCTACCCCAATATCACTTGTATCGAAAAAGGGAAAGAAAAAAATGGTCGAATCTACATGAATGACTTGTTCTTGGCAATCTTAGACAGGGCTGCGAGATTTCGATCAAAGAGCTGGACGGCCTTTTGTCCTTGCTGGAAGAGAAGAGGAGAAAAATGGAGCTACAAGAAGCCGAGAACAGCATGGACATCATGCTTAGCTTCTTACATTGTCTGAGAAGGCAAAAGCTTCAAGAGCTCAATGAGGTTCCAATTATAATAGGTTTTTGGTTTTAGTTTTCTAATTGTTTTGTTTTTGGCACGGGGATTGGTTATGTTGTTCTGTTTCCCTCTGCAGTTAGAGGCCGATCTCAGGTACATCAAGGAGGACATTACTGCCGTTGAGAGGCATAGACTAGAACTATGCAGCTGGGAACAGGAGAGGTCCGCAAAGCTGAGAATGCTTGTTCCCGGTGATCAGCATGGCAACGGCATTGCCTGCAGCACTCAATATGTGCAAGACCGGATGAGTTCTTTCAACCTACAGAACAAGAGAGCTGATGTAAACGGGCAATCAAGCTCCAAGCTGCTCCAACTGAAGGATGCTTATGGAAGGTCTGAAATGCAGTGTGTTACAACACGAGGAGTACTATCAGTAGCAAGAAAAAGGCGTGTCCATTCGCAGGTTAGCAATCTTGCAAAGTGACTTTTGTTCTGTTTGTTGTCGGCTTAATTGATCCAAGGATTGTTTGCATGTTCTGGTTATGTTAAGGCTTTCTAAATATTGTACTTTTCCTTTTCCTTGCTATGCAACTTGCAACAGTTTAATGATCTACAAGACTGCTACTTGCAAAAGCGACGAAATTGGAACAGACAGGAAGAGGACACAAACGCCATGGACATAGAAGGTTACAATCCAGGCCTTGAAGATTTTCAATCTGTGCTTGCAAGCTTTACACAATACAGGTATAAACTTGTGACGTATCATTTCAAACTTCTTTTAGGGAATCCTATCTTGGTATAGTCACTCATACCTGTTTGGTTGCTTGAAACAGTCGATTGAGAGTCGTTGCTGAACTGAGTCACGGTGATCTTTTTCACTCTGCTAATATTGTGTCAAGGTGATTTTAAATGCCATCTCTCATGCACCATTTTTTGTAAAAATTGGATGACTCCCCTTCATTAGGGGCTGCTAGCTTGTGACCTATCATGTCATTTGGTTACTACAACTTGTGAATTGTGTGTGAAAATTTCAATCAAATCTGTTGGCATTTGAGATTCCCATTATACTTGCTGCAGTATAGAATTTGATCGTGATGAAGAGCTCTTTGCTACTGCTGGAGTTTCACGGTGCATCAAGGTTTTTGAATTTTCCTCGGTAAGCATTGGACAGATACCTTGCAGCTGTAAAATGTCGGTAACTTTTAGTCTTTTATTAAACTGGATAATGTTCCAGGGCCGATGTTGAGCGATGACTCAATCTATTGCTTCCAAGTGCTACTGATGTAATCTAGTTGATCTTTAATTAAAAGTAGTTTGTTATAGTTTAATATGCAAGGGATACCTTCCTTGATTTTTTATTTTACTTTAAGATAACTATTGATTTTCCTCATAAGACAATGCTTTCACTACAGTTTAGTGTATACTATATATACTCGTCAACTTTTGCTACACTTTAGTCAATTGACTAGTTAAGAAGTTCTAATGTGATTACTTTCAGGTGGTTAACGAACCAACCGATATCCACTGTCCTATTGTGGAGATATCCTCACGATCCAAACTTAGTTGCTTGAGCTGGAATAAGTACACTAGAAACCATATTGCTAGTAGTGACTACGAGGGGGTAGTAACTGTTTGGGATGTAAATACTTGTCAGGTAGTGAAAGATTGTCCTTAAAATATTTGCCAATCTACACACCTCTGCTGCCCCAGCCACATTTGTTCACATACTATATAACAAGGCTCTTCTTACCAGAGTATGATGGAATATGAGGAGCATGAAAAGCGAGCTTGGAGCGTTGATTTTTCATGCACCGATCCTTCAATGCTTGTGTCCGGAAGTGATGACTGCAAGGTATTCGAGATGGAGTAAAGTTCATTCTGGAAAATCCGTTAAGAATATGACATTTCAGTGCTCTTGCCAACCGCATATGAAATTCTCATGTGGTCCATATTAAATTGCTTATAAGTGGTCTCATCATGTGTTTTCAGGTCAAAATTTGGTGCACAAAGCAAGAACCAAGTGTTCTTAACATCGACATGAAGGCAAATATATGTTCTGTCAAGTATAATCCTGGATCCAGCTTTTTCGTGGCAGTATGTTTCTGTTCTTCAGAATTCCAAATTTCTAACCTTCACCGTATTTCTTTCTAGCATTTACAGTTGATTCCTTTTGTTTCATTCCATTCCATTGGCGATTAAACAAAACTAGTATGTATTGTCTTGCCCTAATCCACTTAGTGATTTTGCAGGTTGGCTCTGCTGACCATCACATTCATTATTATGACTTGAGAAACATCAGCCAACCACTGCACGTGTTCCGTGGGCATAGAAAAGCTGTTTCGTATGTAAAATTCTTGTCTAACAACGAACTTGCTTCTGCATCCACTGACAGCACACTGCGGTTGTGGGACGTAAAGGAAAACTTGCCCGTGAGTTATCTTCTTATGACACGTTAGATTTCTATACAGATTATGATACTTCATGAATTTAGAAACAAAGTCTGAGGTAATTTTGTTTTCACTTTGACAGTTGTGCATGTACAGAGGCCACATGAACGAGAAGAACTTTGTAGGTCTTGCAGTAAATAATGAATACATTGCTTGTGGCAGCGAGACAAATGAACTGTTCGTATACCATAAGGTAAAGAAATTTACATGTGAACAAATTAAAACCCCACACACATTACAATTCCTCATAAGATGCATTGTTAGTACACGGATTAGTGCCATAGATGTAAAGAAGTATTCCTGACGTTACACTACTTTGTGAGGCATCTTGTTATAAATTATACTTGGCACCAACATTAGTTGATTCAGTTTTGATGATTACTTGCAGGCCATCTCGAAACCTATGACTTGGCACAGATTTGGCTCTTCGGATTTAGGCGATAATGACGACGATCCAGGACCACACTTTATCAGTGCGGTATGTTGGAAGAGGGATAGCCCTATGATATTGACTGCAAACAGTCAAGGAACGATTAAAGTGCTCGTACTTGCAGCCTGAGTATCAGTATTCAAGTGAAGTCTTAAGGTATTTGATAACCCCGTCTTGAATCGCTACAATTCGTAAGAACATTGTATATCGATGCAGCTTACTGCACATCAAGCTTGCTTTTCTGTTTTTAAGCACTGATGAAATTTTTTAGTTATGGTTTCACACTGAATATCAAAAAGTACAGAGATATATTAAAATTACAGATGGCCGTCTTCTTTCTTATATTTTACTCAAACTGTCACTATGGAACACATCGTTCAGTTTCTCTTAAAAGTTTCTCCCTTTCAGAGCTCGTTTGGAAATATTTTCAGACCGATGTTGTGTCGATGTGATTTGCACTGTACAGAAGCTTCTCAGTCCAGTTGGAAAGTACAGAAGCTAAAAAGAAGGATGCCCAATTGCCAATGAATGAGTAAGGTAGGAGGATGGAAGGTGGTGTGGTACCCACCAAACAGCCCATGTGTCGAGCATAATTGCAACAAGATCAGCCCGCCTTTATCAAGAGAGCAACTTGCATCGACGGTGATGTGTACCCTCATGTTTCTATGTCACTCATATTAGGCGGTGAGTATACATAGAGAGAGAGAGAGAGAGAGAGAGAGAGAGAGAGAGAGAGAGAGAGAGAGATATTTACACGTTACAAACAAGTACAAAATCCCTCGACAAGTGAACAAAGTGTAGTAGACTTCAAAGTGCCAAATGTGTCACCCGTCGAGCAATTACGTACTTGTTAGTAAACAGACTCCTTTTCTAAAGAAGAATTTTATAGTTCGACAATTTAACCATGTAGCTTATTAGAGCATGCACAAAACACCTAGGTCTTATTAGAGCACGCACAAAACACCTAGGTCTCCTGTATTAGAGAAAGACTTCTATAGAGAGAGATTCACACATTACAAACAAGTACAAAACCCCTTGACAAGTGAACAAGGTGTAGTAGACCTCAAAGTGCCAAATGTGTCACCCGTTGAGCAATTACGTACTTGTTAGTAAACAGACTCCTTTTCTAATGAAGAATTCTATAGTCCGGCAGTCTAACCACGTGGCTTATTACAGCACGCACAAAACACCTAGGTCTCCTGTATTAGAGAAAGACTTCTATAGAGAGAGATTTACACGTTACAAACAAGTACAAAACCCCTTGACAAGTGAACAGGGTGTAATAGACCTCAAAGTGTCAAATGTGTCACCCGTCGAGTAATTACGTACTTGTTAGTCAACAAACTCCTTTTCTAATGAAGAATTCTATAGTCCGACAGTCTAACCATGTGGCTTATTAGAGCACGCACAAAACACCTAGGTCTCCTGTATTAGAGAAAGACTTCTATAGATAGAGATTCACATGTTACAAACAAGTACAAAACTCCTCAACAAGTGAACAAGGTGTAGTAGACCTCAAAGTGCCAAATGTGTCACCCGTCGAGCAATTATGTACTTGTTAGTAAACAGACTCCTTTTCTAATGAAGAATTCTATAGTCCGGCAGTCTAACCACGTGGCTTATTAGAGCACGCACAAAACACCTAGGTCTCCTGTATTAGAGAAAGACTTCTATAGAGAGAGATTTACACGTTACAAACAAGTACAAAACCCCTTGACAAGTGAACAAGGTGTAGTAGACCTCAAAGTGCCAAATGTGTCACCCGTCGAACAATTACGTACTTGTTAGTAAACAGACTTCTTTTCTAACGAAGAATTCTATAATCCGACAGTCTAACCACGTGGCTTATTAGAGCACACACAAAACACCTAGGTCTCCTGTATTAGAGAAAGACTTCTATAGAGAGAGATTTACACGTTACAAACAAGTACAAAACCCCTTGACGAGTGAACAAGGTGTAGTAGACCTCAAAGTGCCAAATGTGTCACCCGTCGAGCAATTACGTACTTGTTAGTAAACAGACTCCTTTAACAATGAAGAATTCTATAGTCCGACAGTCTAACCACGTGGCTTATTAGAGCATGCACAAAACACCTAGGTCTTCTGTTTTAAAGAAAGACTTCTATAGCACAGTTATATCTTCACTATACTCGTCGCATTCCATCAAAGTTGCTCTGCCTCTATTGGGTTATTAATAGGGATGGGCAACGGTTATGGTGGGCAGGTAACCGCGGTTATTTACCCATAACCGTTTAGCCGTTGGGTAATTGCCTAAACGGTTATACACATAACCATAACCGTTTATAAACGGTTAACCATACCCATAATCGCATACCTATTTAACCGTAACCGTTTAATACCCGTTTACCCATTTATCCTTTTTAACCCGTTTATCTTTTTTTTACCATTACCCATTTTTCACCCGTCTACATGTTTTTTAACAACTTGAAAATTAAAAAAAAAATTGTCATTATTTTTTTTTGACAATTAAACACCGTTATAGGTACTTTCATCATACATTTCCATATTTTAATTTTTTAAGTCTTTATACCATTCTAATAATTGAAATAATAGCTTACAGACGATATTTTTAACTGTTACCAATGAAGGTAAATATAATATTTGCTAAGTATTATTGGATTACAAAAATTGTTTAGAAGACATTTCTGTCAAAGCATTTATGTCAATTTCACAGTTACCCGCAAAGAATTTATTTGGCCAATTCATTGATGATGAGAATCATCATTCCTGTAGCAGTGTTATTGAGAGAATGACCGATGAATTCCTTGCTAATTTATTGGGTGCTAAGTATTATTGAATCGAGAAAATGATTTGTGTTAGTTTTACATATATAAAATAAATGGGTAAACGGTTACCCGTTTATAACTGCGGTTAATACTCATAACCGCCAATTTAAATTTCGCGGGTAAACGATTATACCTATAACCGTTTATTTATCTAAATGGTTACTCATAACCGTAACTGTTTAATTTAAATAGACGGGTAACCGCAGTTATCCATAACCAATAAGTATTTGCCCATCCCTAGTTATTAACTATAAACTATCAACGACCCCTTACCTGTGGCCCCTTTTCATGTGAGCAAAAGCCGCATACAATCAGCCGTATGAAAGGTTTTCTCCTCCCCAGGTCTCCATGAAGTCAGGCCCAAATTACAGATAAATCCCTTATTCCAGTGGAGTCATCACCCGCCCACACGGCCACCCCAGTGCACATCTCATGCAAGATCCTCTTCCTCTTGCAAATCTCCAGCCAAGGTTTATAAGCCACATTTAACCATAAAATTGACAAAAATTCATCACCAACCAAAAGGGCTAAAGAAAATTGTGCTAAAAGAAGAAAACTAAATTTAGCCTCCGAACAGGCAACATGTAACTCTGAAGTAGTCTAAGTTGGATCGCAACAAGTAATAAAATATAAAATAAAATAAAAAATAAAAAAAATCTAGCACAATCTTTAAAATATTAAACTTTGAAAAGATAAAACACAGTCAAGGGTGTCACTCAGTACTACAGTGTGGTAGTATTTCCCTTCATTTGGAAGTGAGAGATCTAGGTTTGAATCTCGTGAATGACGAATTCGATGTCAAATTAGACTGCCTATTATGTGACATAACCGAACTTCTTATTTTCTTGGTATAAAAATATCGATGTACTCGAAACCCAATTAAGGGCTCCTGGGCTAGTTTTAGCCCTCCAACTGAATATGGCCTGATATTCCTCCCCCCCCCCCTTCTCTCTCTCCCCTATAAATACAGATCCTCCTCCTCCCCCATAGATTCTCAGAATCCCTCTCTCTCTGATCATCCGTATTAGAACACTCCAAAACCAATTAAAATTATTAAATAATTATTATCTCTTTTTTTGCTTTCCCATTTTTTGGCGCGAAAATATAAGTGGCAGCGATGAAAATAGAGAACGGAGAGCGGGATGTCTGCACGGGGTCTCCGGCGACGAAGGCTCCGGTGATCGGAGACGAGAATGAGAGGGGCGGAGAGGCGTTCGTGCCCCCTCTGAACTTCGCCATGGTCGACAATGGCGTGTTTAGGTCCGGCTTTCCTCATTCCCCCAATTTCAGCTTCTTGAAATCCCTAGGCCTCCGTTCCGTCATGTGAGTCAAATTCCCGTAAACTTGTTTCTGTCGATCAATTTAGCTTCAAATTTGGTTTTAGTTTGATTTAATTTCGGTAATTTCAGATATTTGTGCCCGGAGCCGTATCCGGAGGAGAACAAAGAGTTTTTGAGAGCAAATGGGATTCGGCTTTTCCAGTTTGGGATCGATGGCTCTCAGGTTTCGTTTTCTTTTACCTTTATTTTGCAGATATTATATTAATCGTGACATAATTACATTGTAATTTGTGTCTGGGCTTATGCTTGGATTGCTTGGAAGTTGGGATTAGAGAATAAGATGATAGTAATTGCACAATAATCGTGTGTATTCAAATTGGGATGTTCTCTTCTCTGGTGATTCGATGAAGAATGTAAAGTCCCACGTCGGAAACTATCTTATATTGCGTGGTTCCCTTGTATAAAGCCCCACCCCCCTAATATGTATGTATGTGTAGGTGGTTAAGTTAAAACAGTATCGGTGTTGATTAGTATTAGGCCGTTGGTCATCTGTTGTACAAAGTGATCGTGGATAAGATTTGAGCCACTTATACAAAAGCCTGAATTTATTTTTGTTGATAGTATCGGATAAAACCATCTCGGAGTGAAGAGTTTCTGGTTTGAGTTCATAGAGTTTGGAAATAATTGTCACCATCGACCCACTTTTAGAAAGAGATGGCAAATTGCGTGGGTCGATAGGACTACACTTCATTAGCTTATGTGCTAGTGTGATGAAGGCATTTGGCCTTGCCGTGTCCCACTCCCACGATACCTCTGCTTTTCAAGAGAGACCAGTCACTAACATGAAATGGGGTCGGCAAGTTGGCAGTGACCCTGACCTTTCACGCGTCGCTATGGCTTGCTTTGCATGAATACCATACTTGAACGGAACTGGAAGATAAAAAGTCTGAAGCACCACTATATGCGTCCGCACATATATTTTAGGTGATTGATTGGCTTCCGCAACACCTGTGAATTGCATATATGTTCTTACTTTATCTGCTTACTCTAATAAAATACATGAAATCTAGGAGGTTAGACAAATATATTGACAATCCTACTCAGCACTTGGATTTGTATATATGGATTATTACTCTCCAGCTTTATTGATTTACTTTACCTATTTCAGTGGCCTTGTGTTTTGTCAACTGGCAATGAGTACAGGTCCTCCTGGTGTTCCCTCTTAATAGGCTAATAGGAGGCCATTCTGGGTTTTCAACTTTCCGTCGATTGTTTTTTACTTTTCCAGACACCGGTCTTCTGATTATCAGATCTTACTTTGATCATCTTACCGCGCCACACCTATTCGACGATGCATTACTGTTTCTCATGTTTGTAACTCAGGACTTTGCTTTGAGTAGTTGTAAATGATATCAGTTGTTTGACTCATGTGCTGTGTAACATATTCTGTACAGGAACCTTACGTGAAAATCCCGGAGGACACAATTCGTGAAGCATTAAAAGTTCTCCTTGGTATCACTAAACCCCTTGAACTTAAAGATTCTTTTTTGTTAGTTCTTAAGATTATGCCACAGCTTGTTTGTTTTGCATTTAGCCAAGGTTCTAAAAGACACTAAGCGCTAGTCGGGCGGTGGGCTGGGGCCTAGCGCCTAGCGCCTAGGTGCCTAGGCGCCTAGGCGGGGCCTAGGTGGGGCCTAGGTGGGTGCCTAGGCAAATTTAAGTAAATCTGTTATATTTTATGTATAATTACATCATAAATTACCAAATAGAATGACATATATATTATGAAGTATTGAAACATAATAAAAACATGAAGACACAAACATATAATGTGTGTTCATTTAAGTATTCAACAAGTCTTTTACAATTTATTAAAAAAAAATAATGCAAATGGAAAGTTATCTATTTTCTGTCTAAGGGAGTCGCAACCTAAGCGGATGTCTAGGCGGGTCTGGATGGGTGCCTAGGTGGTCTAGGCTCCCTTTGTAAAATTTCAAACGCATAGTCATTAATCGGGGCAATGGCTAACCGCCTAGCACCTAGGCGGGGCCTAGACGGGGATTTTTAAAACAGTGCATTTAGCTTACTGACTTGCTTGTCTGTGTATATGGCAGATGTAAGAAACCACCCGCTCCTGATTCATTGCAAGCGAGGGAAGGTAATCTATCATTTCCCATTTTTTGTGTTTTCTCAGACAATCTCGGGCTCCATCTTCGAACAATGTTGTTGTTAATGTTGTGCAGCACCGGACGGGCTGCCTTGTGGGATGCTTAAGAAGATTGCAAGGATGGTGCCTGACCTCAATCTTTGACTAGTACCGGAGGTTTGCAGCTGCAAAAGCTCGAGTTTCGGATCAGAGGTCCATCGAAGTCTTCGATATTTCTAGGTTCAACAACTGTCCAATGTCGTTTTCGTCTTCTAAGAGGTAGCAGACTCCAAGCCCCTTGCATCTTTTGGGTGTTTGTGACTCATCAGTTCGTTTTCATGCAATACTCTACCCGCACGCATATTGTAAATAAATACAAACTCTCGATTTTGAATTTTCTATCCATTTAATAATTCGTAGTTCAATTTTTAGGTTAAGAGCTTGCAACTTTGTTGTTTAAAAGCATTCGTCGTAATTTTGAGGTTCCGAATTCAATTTGCCAAATTGAGATCCTCTTCGAATCTTTATCCAGAGCCGAAAACTCAAGAAATTCAGACCGTTCAAGAAAGAAATATGTTCAACGACTTAGTTTTATGTGAGGTAAGCTAGAACGGAATTTCAAAAATCATTTTCATAGGGAAAATCAAATTGTTTCATCGAATCACATACAAATGCATTAAATTATAAGAAAACCAATGAAAATGATTTGAAAATTTATGAGTTTTAATAATAATTTAAAAATAAAGCGTAAAAATAATAATATTATAATTAACTTTTAATGTAAAAATATAATTTTTCGTTGAAATAAACAGTATCAAAATTTTTCTTTAAAATTCTCTAAAATTATCCGTCTAATACGGATGATCGTTTTTATATTTTCTGGAAAACAATGTCCCAAAATTCAAACGATTAAAAAAAAAAATTGAAGTATCAAATAAGATTTTTGAAGTCCTAATTGATTTTTTTTTAATATTTTTTGAAAATAAAAGTATAAAAATTGAGAGTGCATCAGTGTGTAGAAATTCCACAGGGAGACAAATTCTCCGTAAGTCGGTTCAAAGTGAAGAAAATTTTATATTAAATTTTACGCATCATTTGCACTCTTCTCACCAGCAATTAACACTAATTAAAAGAAATTAAATTAAAAATTAACATAAAATGTAGACGAGAAACAATCGAAACGCCAATTTATAAGCTGACGAACGAAACGATGACTCGGCCTTTTCACTCTACCTCAGCTGCTCTTCTCAATCAAGAAACACACAAATTGTCCCTCAATTTTTTTCTACAGCAACCGAGGCTTTGAAATTTTCCCAATAAAAAATCCTACCAAATAATCAAAGAAAACGAAATCGAGCTGCAACAACGATGCACAAAACGCAAACGCCTGACGGAGAGGAAGAGGAAGAAGGAGGCGAGGAGCTCAAAATTTATCGATTTGTTGCTCCGAATCGGGGATTTATATAGAGTCGCTCCAACCCTAGTACCTCCTTGTTAAATTACTACGCTACCCTTTATCGCGGGGATTTCGCTAATGGGCCGCTACTTTCAACTGACGTCCAAGCCTGTAGATTCAATAGTGGGCCTGCAATGTCCAAATTGAAATGGTACCAATCGGCCGAATTAAGTACATGCGTTGTTGGTTTAAACCGAACCGGCCCAACATGGTGTTTGATATGCCAAGTCCACCGCAAGACGTAAGTGGTGAATTTTACTGGTGGTTAGGTTTTCCTCTTGAGACTTCAACAGACTGGGTTCGGAGTTCAAACTATGCTCTCTTGCTTTATTTAGGCGAGCACTATCCATTAAAAGTAAGAAGCATCGAACACAACTTTTAATGTATCGAGTACAGCACAACAAAAATAGTTTTTTTTTTTTCAAAGCACATCAATACCAAACCAGCCCTAAATTGGAAATTGGATGAACCAGCCATGTGTACAGCTTTAAACCAAAAGATAATCATATCCTATATTTCACTTGATGTGACGAATGAATATCCCAATAGAAGAGTCAAACCCTTTAAGTCAACGATTCGCCCACGTAAGAAAGATCGACGGTGGACGTGAACTGAAGGGAAGGGCCCACATCAGATTAGATTAAACCCCGATTGGAATTAACTTGCAGGTATCTCTAGGGTTTGAGCCACCACCCCAAAGGGCAAGAGTTGAGTTCAGTGTTGCTTCCAGGTACCTAGGGTTTTATCCTCCTCCTCCTTCGACTCACTGAAACATTTCTCCGGCTGTAATTTCATCCAATCCAAAACCCCATCACTCGCAATCAAAACATTTGCGTCAAAGATTGATGCTTTTCGAGCTTGTTCATCGGTAAGTGCCCCCATTTCTCTCTATCCTTTTTCATTAAATTCTCGTCGAAAACAGTGAAAGCTTGCTGCTTTTATTCTTCATCCATCAATTTTGGATTAGATAGATACAATATTGTGTGTAGCTAAGTGGGAGAGTGTAATTTCTAGGGTGTGGGAGAGAGGGAGAGGATTATATGGGGAAATCAGGTGGTAGGAAGAAGAAGGGAGCTTCGAACCAGGTCCCGACGGATGCAAATTCGACTCCGATTGTAAACGGTAGTGTTGATTTGGACAATTCGATCTTTTTGAAAAGAGCCCACGAGCTCAAAGAAGAAGGGAACAAGAGATTTCAGGGGAAGGACTATGTGGGTGCTCTGGACCAGTATGATAGTGCTCTTAAGCTCACTCCCAAGACCCACCCGGACCGGGCGGTTTTCCATAGCAATAGGGCGGCTTGTTTGATGCAAATGAAGCCGATAGATTATGAGACTGTCATTGCTGAGTGCACTCTGGCGCTCCAGGTGCAGCCCGGGTATGTCAGGGCTCTGCTTCGGAGGGCGAGGGCGTTGGAGGCGATAGGGAAGTATGAAATGGCTATGCAGGATGTTCAGATGTTATTGGTTGCTGACCCAACTCACCGGGATGCTTTGGAGATTGCCCAGCGGTTGAGGACAGCGCTTGGGCCGCGCCAGGAGGCTCAGCAGGACCTCCAGAGCCGCCCATCACCTGCTGCCCTCGGGGCTTCTGCTGTTCGTGGTGCTCCAGTTGGTGGGTTGGGGCCTTGTTTACCAGCCCGGCCTGTTCCAAAGAAGGCAGCTGCTTCAGCTGGTGGTTCTGGTATATCCCCAATTAATAGGACCGAGAAGCCTCAAACAAGTTTACCGGCTGAGAATGGACCTTTGAACAAAACCCAAATGCCAAAACTCACATTGAAGCCGTCAAATGGTCCTTCAAAATCTGTTAATCCAAGTAAGGGTAACCTGAAGGAGCCATCATCTTCAGTTTCATTGCCAGAGGCTGCAACTCGTTGGAGACCATTGAAGCTTGTATATGATCATGACATAAGGCTTGCCCAAATGCCTGTGAATTGTAATTTCAGAGTATTGAGGGAAATTGTGACGAAGCGCTTTCCATCATCAAAGTCAGTTTTGGTCAAGTATAAGGATAGTGATGGTGATCTGGTGACTATAACCTCTACTGCTGAACTTAGGTTAGCTGAGTCTTGTGTTGACAAGGTCATTTCAGAAGAGCCTGAAATAGATAAAGCTGACTCTATTGGGATGTTGAGATTGCATATCGTGGAAGTGACTCCTGAACAGGAACCGCCTTTATTGGAAGAAGAGGAGGAAAAACCTGTTGAAACCGAGGGGATCAAGGAAGATGAAAGTAACTCTAATTCTTCACTTGGTGAATCTGTTTTGGAGCCTGCTGATTATGAAACTGATAAGACAGAGAAAGAAGCTCCAAAGGAGAAACCAGGAGCTGCAGAAGATCCCGAGTGCAAGGAATTGGAGATGGATGATTGGTTGTTTGAGTTTTCTCAGCTTTTCCGCAGCCATGTTGGTATTGACCCAGATGCTCATATTGATTTGCATGAGCTTGGAATGGAGCTTTGTTCGGAGGCTCTTGAAGAGGCAGTTACTAGTGAAGAAGCTCAGAGTCTTTTTGACAAGGCTGCCTCAAAGTTCCAGGAGGTGGCGGCGTTAGCTTTCTTTAATTGGGGAAATGTTTATATGTGTGCAGCAAGGAAGCGGATTCCCTTAGATGAGTCTGCCGGAAAGGATGTAGTGGCTACGCAGCTTCAAACGGCCTATGACTGGGTCAGGGAAAAATATTCCTTGGCCAGAGAGAAGTATGAAGAGGCACTTGTGATCAAGCCAGATTTTTACGAGGGGTTGCTGGCACTGGGGCAGCAACAATTTGAAATGGCCAAACTTCATTGGTCATTTGCACTTGCTAGGAAAATAGATCTTGCGACCTGTGATTCTGCAGAAATGCTGACACTTTTTGACAGTGCGGAGGCGAAGATGAGAGTTGCAACTGAGATGTGGGAGAAGCTGGAGGAGCAGAGGGCAAAGGAACTGAAGGATCCAAGTGCAAGCAAGAGGGAAGAGTTGATGAAAAAAAGGAAAAAACAAGGCACCGGGAATGAAGGTGATGCATCTGGTCAGGGTGAGATTTCAGCAGATGAAGCTGCAGAACAGGCAGCTGTTATGAGATCACAGATCCATCTCTTCTGGGGTAACATGCTTTTTGAGCGATCCCAGGTCGAATGCAAATTGGGGATGGATGGTTGGAAGAAAAACCTGGATGATGCTGTGGAGCGCTTTAAGCTTGCTGGAGCTTCTGAGGGTGACATCGCATTGGTTCTGAAGAATCATTTCTCCAACGTTGAAGGAGTGGAGGGGGATGAGAAAAAGGTTCAGATTCTAGGCAGTGACGTTCCTGTTGAAGCCAATAAAGATGATGACATTCTTTCAGGGAAATAAGATCATCTATTTTAACGGTGGCTTCCATGAAAAATCTTCATTTTTTGCATGTTCAGCATGAGAATAACCGGAGAGAAGAGGTGTAGGTTTCTGTACTGAATGTTGGAATTCTGGAATGCTTTTTATACAGTTTGAAAAGGTCGGGGGCCGGAATATGCAGCCTTGTACTCAAAAAGATTTTGGGCAATGTTCTAAACATTTTTCTCAATGATGATGACTTGTTAGTGTCGATTTTATGTGCGTAGCGTCTTATTTTTTAGCATTGCTGCTCCGATTCAGTGCAGCGTGGTATGTAATTGCAATCTTTATCTTTGATAAAGTGAACGTTTTTCGCAGTACTGATGAGTTTGAAGCTTCTACTTTAAGTGCTCAAGGCCTGCTATTTGGTTTGCAGCGTCAGTTATGTTGGATCTGATATATAGCTTGCTCCTCCGCTCCAATTCAGTGCAGTGTGATTTATGAATTCAATCTCTGTTTTTATGATATGAATCTCAGAAGTTGTGAATGCACAATTTGATCTCTCCTTGTCACTTTATCCGTGTTATCGTGCCACCATCCCAATCACATGATTTTACTAATCTGCATGTTATAATTTAACATAATGAAAGATTAATTAACTTTGAAGAACATGGTGATGGGTCCCTCGAGTATTAGGCATCTAATTATTTGTATTTGGAATCTAATCATTTGTATTTTATATAGATAGATTTCAACTACAAAAATTGTGGAGCAAACATTTGTATTTTATATAGATAGATTTCAACTACACAAACAGTGGAATAAAAAATAAAAGAAAACAAAATAAACCCAAACTTTCTTCTCCCCAACTTTATTTGGCACAAAAGCATAAAACCCAAACCCTAATTTTAATTATTTTTGTGCCATGTTCTCGGACGGCTCTCAGAGCTCAGGCAGTTGCAACAGGGGTGGATTCCTTGGCCTTCATAGCTTCAAATCTTGGCTCCTTGGCTTGGAATTTCAGGCCAGAATACAGCTTCATGTAGTCATCAAACACAAACTTGGGATAAGTTGGGGCGTCCTCAGTTTTCTTCTCAAGCACTGCCGGTGCTGGGCTGATGAATGAGTCGTTGCCTGGGTTGTAGAACGAGGCTATCGACATTCTGGTCCCATCCGACTGAGCTATCACCCGGTGCATCACACTTTTGTACTTCCCATTGGTGATCACCTGCATCAAATAATTAAAAGTATACGATTCAGTAAACTTGATAGCGAAAGTACTAGTTATATGTGCATCAAATAATTAAAAGTATACGATTCAGTAAACTTGATAGCAAAAGTACTAGTTATATGTGCATGACGTCCGCTCTTCATTATATATTGGTCGAGAATTGAAATGTATTGGTAACATGTATGTAAGTTTTGTTGACGACAATGATATCAATACATATTGATGACACATCAGACTTCCGTTCCATAAAAAATGGGTAGTCGGGTAACTGGTATACCTCAATCTGGTCACCTAAGTTTATGACAATGGAGTGGTGCATTGGGGGGACATCCACCCATTCACCATCCTTGAGAAGCTGGAGGCCGCTGACCTTGTCATCCTGGAAAAGCAGGATGATGCCACCGGCGTCGCTGTGGGCCCGGAGTCCCTTGATCAGGTCTGGCTTGGGGCATGGAGGGTAGTTGCTGACCTTGGTCCCAAAATTCGGACCCTTGGATCCATAGAAAACCTTCTTCAGATAACCCTTCTCGAGTCCAAGATTCTCACACAGCAAGTCCAAAAGCTTCTCAGCTAGCTTCTCCAGTTCCACTGCAAATTCCTTCATGGTCTTCCTGAAATATCGTTCAAAATAAATACAAGAAAATCAATAAGATATTCTAATACAATCTAACCTACATGGAGGAGATTCGAACTTAAGTGCAACGAGGGGCCGCACGGGTGCTCTAGCCAACCTGACTAAGCCCAAGTATGTGGAAAATTAATTAAGCTTGTTGTGATTAGTGTGTGACCTGTACTCTTCCTCGAGATCAGGGATTTCGGAAATGTTTGAGGAAGGAAGGTGGCGCAAGAAGAAGGTGCTTTCCCAGTCCAAGTCGTGGATTTCGGACTGGACATCGTCGAGGCCTTTGGCTGCCACCATTTCCTTAAACCTTTGCTCCATGGTCTTCTTGTAGTGATCCTTGGTCATCTTCTCCACAGTGTCCAAAAGCTCAGTAGACATCCCATGGTTCACCAGCTTCAGTTATTTACACACAAAAGAGTTAGAAACACATAGAAATGTCATAATTCTACAGAAACTAACGCAGCACCATAAAACTGAGCAACTAGGGCGGCGCATTTGTTTTCCGACCCTCTTGCGCTTAGAGACAGATTTACTTTACAGATTTCCCCTCTAAGCACACGAGGGGCGGACGTCTAGTTGGTGCCTCGAGGAGGGATAAAAATAAAAGATCTCACAGCTTGTTGGGTTACCTCAAAGAAACCCCAGTTCTCACAAGCATCATTGATCTTCTCCAAGGTTGCTGCTCTCTCTTCACCATTGACAAGGCTCAAGTCAACAACTGGGAAAGTCGCCATTTCTCTTTGGATTGCTTGGTTTGTATGCTCTGTGTGTAGCCTTTATTTTTGTTGAGTGGAGTACCCATAGCTATGGTGCAATTTATAGCTCTAAAGGAGTGGCAGATCCGTAAATAACTTGGATTTTTTTATATAATCTTTTATGTCGAATTACTAGTTCAAGTCGAATGTGATCTTATCAAAATTCAAATATTTATGGTACGTATTAGAATTTAATCCAAATATACATGGTAAAGTATAACAAGTGAACAAAAAAATACATCATGTCATTTTCGATTATGAGCATTTGTATTTACACACAATACATATAAATTTTGTATAACAAAAATGTAAATGCACTGTCTAAATGCAAAACATGAGAATCCATGTACCAATTTCCAAATTTGGTAATTGTAGACGGTAAAGCAAAATAATACACTATTAAAGAAGAATTTACAAGTACATATATCTAAGTGTAAAAGGAAATGATAAATTAGAAAATAAAATTAAGATTAGAAATTGAAATAAAATAAATTTAAAAAGAACAGGACTCGAGGAAGTATGTAAGTAAGTAGGGAACAGTAAGCACGTCCTGATGGACCCCTACCAATTTTTGTCCTGAGGCTGCGGCCAATGGACCCCTACCACTTTTATATGTTTACTAATCTTCATGCACACGTTCACGTCCGTGCATAAGACATTTTTTTAATTACGACATGTTATGATCGACTTACATATTCTAAATGTATTTATATGCATAAATTGACAAAAGGAAAGTCAAATATTTGAAGTAAATGAATAATTTTAGAGCACGCTAGAAGAAGTCTCTCATAAACCAATTAAAGTAGTTGAATTCACATAATAAAATCGGTCTCTATAGAATTTATAATAAGAATAAAGAAAATAATATTTAATGAACAATTGATTAAATAACATTATTACTAGCCTATTATGATGCTAAGCTCACCAATCTCCCTTAGTGTAGATAATATCGTTTGTTAAAAAAAAATCATTTGATAACTAATTTAATCATATTATTATTCACATGAGAAATACTTTTTTTTTATAACCGGCATTACACGCCTCTTAAGATGTTTTGAACGTGTTTAAAAATGGAGAAAATAATATTGAATGAACAATTGATTGAATCATATTATTGCTAGCCCATTGTGAAGCTAAGTTCACCCCCTCCCCCTTTGTGTAGATAATATCATTTGTTAAAAAAAACAATCATTTGACAACTAATTTAATCACATTATTATCAGCATGCGAAAGACTCTTTTTATAACTGGCATTACACGCATCTTAAGATGTTTTGAACAGCTTGGTGACACCAAAATCACTATTCACAACATCTGATTAAATCATATTATTGCTAGCCTATTGTAAGGTACTAATTTTTTTAAAAAAAACTTTACAAATTTATCACCAGCATTATGCGCCTCTTAAGATGTTTTGAACACAATATTCATAATTTTTCTTATTTTTTTTATCATATTTTTGTTTCCCCTGTGGCCACCATCAACTTTCACTCATCCTTCCATTTTTTATTCTTTTTTCTCTTCCCACTAATATTTATATTATATTTTATGATGATCAAATTACCAAATTACCCTTGCATTATTTGAGATATTATATTAAGCTGCTTTTGGATTTTTTTGGTTGAGGGGCAATTTTTTCCTAATATTTTTGTCAAAGCCATGACACTAAAACTGGTCTCCGGCTTTATTTATAGAAGAAAAGATTCGCTTCTTTCTAAATTATCTTTCTCTCACGTTTCCTTTTATTTGAAGGTCACAATCAAGTTTTATAGAGAGAAAGAAGAAGAGAATTGAGCGAGAAAGACAGGAGAGGAGGAGAAAAGTTTTACTCCATAACCATTTTTCCCAAGCATGCCATCTTTTAAAATTACTGTAATTTAGTTTATGGTAATAGTACTTCTTTTTTTCAACGTTGATAGTGGTCATGAACCTCTACTTGAATTATTAAAGTAGCCAGAAACTGTTCGGCACTAGACGGCTAGACACCGTCCCAATTAATGCCTAGACATTTGAAAATTAAGAAATGACATCTAGACCTGCTGAGGCGCCCGCTTAGAACGCCTAGCCCGCCCAGACCCGCCTAGACACATACCTAGGTTGTGACTTACTTAGACAGAAAATAAATAACTTTCATTTTGCATTTTATTTTTTTCAATAAATTGTAAGAGACATGTTGTAAACTTAAATGAACACACATTATATGCTTGTTATCTATGTTTTCACTATGTTCTAATACTTCATAATATATATGTCATTCTATTTTTGTAGTTTATGATGAAATTGTTTATATTTTAAGTATAAATTGACACTTATTTACATGAACTATAATAGATTTACATAAATTTGTCTAGTCCGCCTAGGTCCCGCCTATCCGCTAAGCCCCAACCCGCCACCCGACTAGCACCAAGTGTCTTTTAGAACCTAACTAGGAAAAGTGTCTTATGGATGCACAAATGCATGTCCCAAAGTTCCTTTATTAATATGTTTAGAGAGAGGGAGCATGTATGTTAATATTTAATTTAGATAAAATTAGAATCCCCTAGCGTCTTCTATATCATTTAAATTAAACATCCGTGTCTTTTTAAAATTTGATTAAAGTGTTTTGACCAATAGCCACCTCAAGCTAAATTACATGTCATTATTAGATTTTTAAAAATTAAAATAATTTTTGAATTTATCCTTTTATCTGCATGATGCACTTTTCCTTATTTAGTGGAGATATTAGTAATTAAACTATATTATCTCTTCTTCCAGATATGTTTTTTCGATCACAATTTTTTTTTTGTTATGCAAACATTTAATATTATTTCTTTTTTCAAATAGTTGGTGATCAACATAAAAGCTCCGTGTAATTTTTTTTGTGAAATTATAATTTTATTTTTGTTTTTTTTAAGTATAGTTGTTGACAAATTATTATTAGGTACAATACATTATGTATATATTATTTGGGGGTACATTTGAATTTACAAAAATCATTAATTGGTACGTTTATTTGCAATTTTGGTAAGTTTGATTTGATACATATTATTAATATTGGTACATTATTTTTATTTTGGTACGTTTTATTTTGTACAAATTGTGTATTGGTACGTTTTTATTATTCTCAATCATATTTTCTCTTAATGTACTAAAAGAAAAACTTATTTCGGTACGTTTGATTTTATGGGATTTAAAAATATTTTAAACTATTTTTGAAAGAAAATATCTTAAATCATAGATAATTATTGCTAAATTGTAGCATTATTGTGAAAATAAATTGAATCTAACCATTTTTTTTTTTACAATTATCTCTAACGGAGGAGAGTGTAATCAAAAGGCTGATTATAGAAAATTTGTTACAATATAATGTGCATATAACACCAAAATTATGACATAAAAAAGTTTAATCAAATCACTAAGAGACATGGATGTTTGATCTAGAAAATTCAAAATTGAGGCGCCTATATCAAAAAATCCCTTTAATTAATCATCTTTTGTCACGTCATTATATAGTGCTATCTTTTTACTTATATATGTTACAACATATAGTCTAGATTATGCTCTAGATCAATAGAACATCGATTATATCAATGCTTATATCATACTATGTGGATTGGTAACACTGTAATTACATTTTCCATGTTCTCTTTTTTCGCAATTATAGCTTAATTAAGCAGTAAAAGCCAAAGGAAGGCACGCCACAAAAAGGCAATGCTCATGATTCATCAACAAGAGAGAAGCGTACGAAAAGAAAAAAAGTTACGCCCAAATCAGTGAAAACATTTAGCTTTCGATCGATCATCTGCTAAACAATAGATTACAGGATCTAGAACTAGCTAGTTAACAAATTAATCAAATATTATTTGTCAAATGCATGGCTTAACTAGCCTCCTTGCATGCATTGAACAAAGAACACGTGATCAAAGAAGCTTGGTGGCTGGCTTGATGCTATGTCAGAGAGAGTGGGCTACTTAATAAGTAATTACCGGTGGTTGAATCTGAATGTGGTGGTTAATTTTCCTTTCAAGTTATAAAACAAGACATTTTTTTATTGTACTTGAAACACGATTACACGACGTTATTTAACTTAACTTATAAACTTATAGCATGTGAGTTTGTTTTTTATTAATATAAACTAAATGTAGGACAATCAACGGATTCATATCATCTTCGGACCAACGGATCAAGTCATCTTCGCCATTTGATTCAATCTTGCGGTCATGAATTAATTTTAATTTATCAACTGTGTCACTCATTAAATATTTCTCCTAAAACCAAGGGGTTTCTAAGATTCAACCAAAGACTAGAGAAAAGCTATGGGCTGCGAAACATTGAAACTGATTAAGTTGACGAAGCTTGGACGCCTTTGTCCTCGAGAAATTTTTAATTGTGACGGGAATACGGGTAGTACACCACGTGTTTTTATGTCAGTGGTGAAAATTTTTATTTTTTAAGTTATTAACTTTTTAATACACATATCTCACCATTTGTATAGTGACACGTGATGTACCATCTCGTGTGCCGATCACATTAAAAAATCTCTTTTTGTCCTCCTCCATCGACGGCTGCATTCCAAATCAACTTTCAACATTCTTACCAATCAAAACCAATTCAAGAAATCCCATCTTTCAACTTTCAACTTTCAACTTTCAACTTTCGGTCTCTGACTCCGTGTCACATGCATGATGTCGCTTAGCAAATGTGTCAATGCCACGACTATTTATTCTTTGTTGGAATTAACCTAACATAAGACTAGTAATATAGTGTCATTAACAGTTAATCACTTAGTTTACATTGACGTGCAAACCCTAATTCAATCAAGTTTACGTTAATTGGTTGTATCCATGCAACCAATTAATAAAGAAATTAGTTTTGGTTATACATTGGAGTTATGGGGTAATTAAGTACTGAAGAATAAGATTAATTAATTAGTGTTTTATTCCTTCTGAAAGTGTGTTTGCGAGCCTCACTTCCTTGAAAGTCATTTTGACCCAACCTGCCCTTTTAATTATGTTTACGAATCCCACTTTATATACCTTTTCACATCTGCATCGATCTTGAACGAAAAAAGAAAATTAAACAAACTTAAACGCAGAAGTAAAATGGGACATCAAAACATGATTTAGAAGGCACCTGACATTTTGGACCCGACCCGACCCGTTAATATTAGTATTTGGATGGGTGCTTAACGGGTCGGGTCGTTAACGGGTGAATCCGTTAAATAACGGGTCACTTTGGATCAACCCGTTAAACCCGTTAGTTGAGGATGTTTTAGTAATTTCAGTAAAGTCTTAACAACAAAAAATAAACTTTATGAAAAAAAAAATTAATAATAATTGTTAACGGGTGAAACGGATGACCCGTTAGTTTGACGGGTCGGGTTCGAGTGACCTTTTAGCTTAACGGGTTGAGTTCGGATGACCTGTTAATTTAACGGGTTAGATTGAACCCAACTCAAACCCGATAAACCCGACCCGTTTACGGGTCTAGAAGGCACGTTAAATAAAAGGCAACGTGAAACTTGAGAACACTTTCAAAGGATAACACATTAGTTAAGCCTTAAGAATGTAAATCATCTCAGAATTTTGTTCCAAACCTGCACGACTGCATGCACCTCAAAATATAGAAAGGTTTGGTCTTATTGATTTGTCATTTTAGTCGTTTAGTTCAAATATATGCTAATTAAGCTTAGTAACGCACAAACCACGTAAGTAAAAAGGTGTAGAACTTAGATATTATTGATCAAGCTCAGAATTCATGCATTTTCCATTAAGGGAGCAGAGCAAAGTACATGCATATACAAATGCATATACAACTGGAACATGATCCCTCTTCGTATATCTATATATGTGACGCTCAATTTGTTGGTTTTTGGATCGTTCCAAATTCCATGTATTTTCTCTTTGTTGGCTTTACGTATATTGTCTTATAATCTTCAAATAATGCAATTTTGGCTGGTTCATTTCGATGAAGACATCATGCATGCATGCATCCACTCAAATTGATAGAAAACTTTAGCAAATTCATATAATATACAATAACATCGCATGATTAGTTTAACACTAACAATTTAGCATCTCAGTTTCATATTATTTATTATTTAACCATATTTAACATATGATGTAAGATGTCAGTTGATTTCTACGTAAAAAGTCATACTTAACGTAGTCGAACTGTATTACTTATAATTATTTCTGGCTATTGATCTCAACTTTCTTTCACCATACATATGGAAAGTTGCTGGTGCATTACAAGAAATCATTTAGAAAATTGAATCGTTTTCTGGTAAAGCTGAGTTGGTCGCAGAGCCTGGGTACCACTCCAATAACATCCCATTATACTGCAGGTATGGGTTTTAAAAAGAACAATAATCTATTTCGTTCCGGCCAGTACTACCGAGTTGGCATGACATGTTACTCCATACCTGAGGGAAATGTGGAACCTGGGCTGGCTTCCATCGATCTGTGGTATACATATCTGTCAAACCCGTACATTTTTGGCTCTATATATCCTCCAATTATTATCATCCGCATATTATTGAATTAGGCTTATTTTTAGCTACGTTCTTAGAAGTTGATTTCAACCTCATGTTGTTTTTTGAAATTCAAAAGTTAACACTTTATTTCCTGGAACTTAATTTTAATCTTACTTTGTTTCTTGAAACTGAAAACCCGCTACTGAACTTCTTTAAACTCAAAATTCGTTCCAGGTTGCTTTGTTTTCGTTCTTTTCTGGTATTTGTCCATTACTCTGACCAACGTCTCATGCGTGGCAACATGTTATTTTGGATCCCATCTATCTAGTATACTAATTTACTATGAACCCCACGTGTGAAAATCATGTACTCAATAAACGGTCTATGATTTTTTTTTTTTAACAAACAATATTATTTATATTAAGGGGATGAAGAGTGAACTAAACCTCATAATAGGCTAGTAATATTATGGTTCAAGTTTACCTTTAACAAAAATCAAACCTAAAACATTTCATTAATAAATGAAAAAAAATATCACTATACCGTAGTGCTAATTATCAATTTCTATGCTTATTAGTATTGGGATTTGGATCCTCTCCTGAGCAGAGGGTCTGAATCCTCCTGACCAGATAACAAGGACCATTGAATTTTGATCCAATAGGTACAATTAGAGGATCCCTCTAAAAGTTATAATAATTATAACCGTTGTATCAAAATTCAACAATCTATGTTATCTGGTTAGGAGGATTCGGACCCTGCTTTGGAGAGGATCCAAATCATTAGGATTGCTCGTATAAGATCCTTGATGTGATGAGGTAATATATCAATTGATCAGGTACATAATAAAGTGGACCCTCCCTGAAGAGATTCTTTCTTCTTTGATCGTGCAAAAATTTGACCGGTAGCTCATTCGGTCATGTGATTGAGAATTTGGATAAGTCATAAATGGGGTCCATCCCGCATGCAATGTTATGGGCGACTAGATTCATATTTGATTATCATTTCGAACAGAAAAGAAGAAGAAAAGATTCATATCACAAGATTGTGATCAAATTTGTTTTGCCATGTAATGTTGTCTACTCATATTATGATACATGCTTGAGTTAATAAAATCATGCGATAATGTGATTATTGTACTAAAACAAAAACAATGAAAAAAGAAGATAATCCATCGCCAAAAAAACAAGGGATTTTTGTTTTTTTTTTTTTTTTTTATAAAAATTCAAAAATATACAACAAAGCTTGGATTCTTTTTTCATGTGAAAAAATAGGTTGAACACAAGATAGCTAGATAGCATTGTGCCATACAAGTCATTCTCTATATTCGTTTACTATATACACGTATATACATGAAAATGATCCCCACCTTTTACATGAAAAATGTATACATGAATCTTTTGATACTTATATGCCATGCAGATTGATATATCATAAGTTTACCTATATTCTTTACTTCGGTCAAAAATATATAATTAATAACAGGGCATCTCCTTCGAATTGCTAGATCCAAATTCCGTGGTGCTATTCATACGTGATTTAGGTCAACAAATTACGATTGCACATCAGAGTATTTGATTAATTTGGAGATAACATCGCGATGAACTTCTTAATAATGATTTGATGGTAGGTTGAAATTTTCGAGGCTTCCTCAAATGCATGCCAAAAGTATACACATTTAAGCTACACGTGAGAACAAGAGTTGCTAAGTTGTTTGTTCTTACAGAATCCAACGACTCTTGTTCTCATATGTAACTTAAATATGCACTTTTAATACGTATGGGAAAAAACCCATTGAATCCCCAGCGGTAACCAGAAGATGATAGAACCGAAGGACCTAGGCCCAACTTCGTGCAACATTGGACGTTTTTCTATGGGCTTGGAAAAAATAACACATTATCTAAAGCCTACATAAATGGATTCGCACAACCACCAATTTCTGCCCACCAACTTATAAGTTGATGGTAGTTGTGGTTGGTCCAACCCACCCCAAATGTTCGTCAAGATTCCATTTGAAACACAAACAAAAGCCAACGTTTCAAGCTTTTTTTTTAGCGACAAATTTAAAAGACGACAGTTGCTTTTGTTTTAACAAAAGCTTCCTTGTACATGTGCCTCCAAAGAAATCAAACATGTTTATCTGACAATTAGCTTCTTCAGTCAAAGGTAGGGTTAATATTATATATTTTATGAGAACAAAGCATTTACGTTTCTGGTGCCATTGGGACAATATTTCAAGAAAATAATGCATTGTTACTATTGTTACGTAGAAAAAAAAATATGTGACTTTAAATTATATGTACAAGTGATGTTTTACTTAAAGTCATATAAAGTGTACCGGTCGAAACTCAAACTTATTACATAACGACTAAAATAACATGTATTATTACTTACGAAAATTAAACGTGTGATAGTGCATAGTTGTTTTGAGAACGTGAGATACCAATGCCATCACAAGAAACATAACTTCAAAACAAAAAATTACCATAAAAATGTACGCAAAATTCACATTGTACCCTTCAAGTTGCAGAAAAATAGAGTGATAGAAACACTAATTAAATTCAAGAACCCCATATTACATGTGAACAAATTGAATTGGATTTGAAAATTCCACCATCAAAGTTTCAACAATGCACCAATCTCGAGGCATCTTCCCACAAACAATCACATCAAATATTTTCTGGTTTTTTTTGTTATTTCTTTGATCATCCAATGAAATCGGACGATCATTAGAATATATCGAGGATCTCGAGGATCGAACGGTTGCAGAGGGGACAGGAACCTCGATTCAACCACACCTCCCTCGAACACACCCTGCAAAATGTGTGCCCACATGGGATGAAAGCCGCGCCTTTTTTCCTTCCCATGCACACGCAGCACATCGAATCGCTCCCTATCCCTCCCTCCGCTGCTTTTTCACTGTCCGCCGTCGCGCCACCGCCAAACGCGTCGCAGCCGTCCATCTCCGTCTCCTCAAGCAGCCTCATCAGCGACACTCTCATCGGCGTTCCCGGCGCCGTTGTTCCCGTCCTTGCATTATCCGCGGGACCCACCGACCCCTCTCCCTCCGTATCCTGCGGATCCCGGAACTGTCGCTCGGCTGCCAGAGCGGCAGCTAAATTCATACCCGACCCGTTCGAAACCGGAGCAACGCAATCCGGATTCCAAATATTAACCGGTTCAGCCTGGTCCACAGTTATAACCACTCGTTCTTGTGGCGGAAGATTTTGCGGGTCTTGATCTTCCTCATCCTCTCTGGCGCCAATCGCCGCCGTCCGTCCGAAGCCCCAGGTGGCCCCACAGCATCCGAACCCGTTCAGTCTCAGCCGTTGCTTGAAGCTCCGCCTGCCCAAAACCCCCCTCGCTTCACCCGCGTCGTCCATTTGCTCTCTCAGAACCTCGAGGACCGTCCTCGCCGCCCTCTCCCGCCGCACCGCTTCCTGCAATAACAGACTGAGCTGACTCATTCTTCAACAAAGGATTCAAAACCCACCACAAAAACCCAAAAAAAGAAAAAAAACAAAGATTCAGAGAAAGAATTGTTGCTGGGGAAAAAAAACGTACAGATTGGGATTAAATGGAGCGGTCCAAGTCCGACTCTGTCCATGGAGAACCCGTGAGCGTCTTCAAGAAACAGAACAAAAGCACTTGTGGGAAAAGCAGGACTGCAAACTAAGTTTCGGGGGGATTCTGAAAACTGGGTTATGTAAAATGCGAGCTGAGCGCCAGCTCTGTCGTTGAAAAAAGGGATTTTGGGGTTTGAAAAAAAGCAAGAAAAAGGGACAAAATAGAAGAACAAGAAGAAGAAGGAAAGAGGGCAAAATGATGACTTCCAGAGAAAGCAATGGTTGGGAATTTTTAAGTATAAAAATTTATGTTTGTTTCGTTTTCGGATAGAGAAAATTATTGGTTAGTTGTATTTCTTTTTCAGGTAGTTTAGTTGGGTTTGGGGTGTTGTTCTTTGTACGCGGGTGGAGGTCGTCGCCGGCGAAGAATAAAGTCAAAAGTCCTGTAAGCCGGCGCGTCACTCGATGCTCTCTGCCAAGTGGCACTACCTTCCTTTCTGCCTTAGGATTCTCTTTTCTCTTTTTTCCTCTTCCTTTCCCTTCTTTTTTTTTCTTTGAACAGTCACGGTTAAACCACGTCAATATCTTATATTAATTTTTTATAGCAAGAAAATGACAATAAGATAATGTGAGAGGAGGGGAGAGAATCCTAGTCCCACATTTCTATACCACCTTAGGAAATGAAGAAGAAAGACTTCTCGTATACCACAATCATCATTTAATTAACTAGTTTTTTTCTCAATTATTAGTTTATTAAATAATGAACTAAATTTAAAAATCTGATTAATTCAAATGATATGGCTATTCACATCAAATGCCACCTAAGAAGGTATGAAAATGTGGTACAAAAATATGATATAAATATCATTACTCTTAATTTTTAGGAAAATTAATGAAAATGACTTGAAAACTTTGAGTTTTAACGATAAGAACAAAATAAAGAGTAAAGTGAATAATATCATGATTGATTTTTTAGTGTAAAAATATGATTTTTTTTTTGTTAAATGAACAGTACTGCGAGTTTTTCGTTAAAGTTCCCTTAATTTTTTTGTTTTGTTTAGTAATACATGCAACAATTTTTATTTTCATATAAGAACGATTTAAAGCAAAATTCATAACCATTTTTTATTTAAAAAATGAGGACAACTGATGGCAAGCTACGGTTATCCATCCATTCTGGGGGCTGGGAAAACTCACAAAGACATTTCAGCATCCCATTGACCACAGTCAAGCAGACTCACCAGCTTGGAATCTCGAATCCGAAATCTTCCTTTTTTTTTGTATTTTGGGAGTCGAAATTTTCGCCCTCACCACTGGGCAATTTGTTATGGTTAGCACAATTCATAAGCTTAGTGCAAATGGTAAAGTCTCATAGCTACAAGTTAATCAAAAACTTATTCATGCTCAAATACGTAAACTTACCAAATTAAGCACAAAGGGGAAATTAAGTTCAACCCAACTCATATGTATTTCTATAAAATCCCTCTAAAATCGGAAGGCAACTTATATGAAATTGGAGAGATTTTTTAATGTGTATGACATACGGGATGAAACACCACATATTCTTATATAATTAGAAGATTTTTTTCTTCTAATTATACAATGATATGTGGTATTCTATTCAAAAAAAAAAAAAAAAGTCTTTCCTAAAGTTGGTGTGAGTTCAATCATTATTTGATATGTGCAATGATGTGACTAAAAAAAGTTTGTCCCTCTACCAATAAAGCTCTTTGCATTGATTGCGCTCAAAAGACACAGATGCAATTGAGAACAACTTTGCAATGCAAAGCACAGCTGATTAATTAGTAAGTCAAAATAATAATGCTGATTAACCTCAATGCATAAAAGGGATAAAATCATTCCAAAGGCTAATGTAATAGTGTGATTGATAATTTAATAACGTGATTTCGCAACGTAGCAGGGCTCATGCAACTCTGTATTGCTCCGATTTCGTTGGTTATGTAGCATAAGTGGTTTCGTGAAGAATTGAGGTTTTTCTATAAAATCAGTTAATAATATAAAGAGTAATTTAACTATTTATAAACACATGCAAAATTCATTTTCTCATCAATGTAGGATTCACTCGTAACACCATGCTCGAACCTCAATTACCATCTCATAATTATAAGGATTAGGGGCATTAACTGTGTTCTTAATTTTGTTAATCCTAGTGATTTAATTTGTAATTTCAGTGGTCAATATTCGCTGGCAAGTGGCAACCATGATTGCTGAGATCATCATTATTTAATTAACAATTTTGCACGAAATTCATTTTCTACCAATAATATATTCGGTCTTTTGATAGGACCAGGCTCCTCTACCCTCCCACTTCCCATACATTTTTATCCCATTTTATTTGTGCGGTCACAATTAAGTCATGTCAATATTTTATATTACTATTACTTTTTGTCTTATTCTCTTTATAAAAAAATCAATATAAAATGTTGACGTGGTTTAATCGTGACCGCACAAAATAAAAAGGAATGACAGTGTATGAAAAATGGGAGGGTAGAGAAGCCGGTCCCTTTTGATATGCATGCAATGCAATGCCCTTCATATTTTTCTATTACAAGGCAAACCACATTTACATTTGATATATGAGCGACTAAGAAAAAAAAAATTCAATGATTCATGAATGATATCGGTACATAAATACATTGATGCTGAAGCAACGGCGAAGTCAACTAAAGTTAGGATTCAAACATTGAGGGTCTGAGAATTAAATATATAAGTTTTTAAATATGTCAACAAATATCAATATACGACAAAGCAATATAATGAGTGTTATGAATAGAATTTTTCGAGTGCTCTCAATGTAACCTGTTGAGTTTTGTCGAGATATGACTAACATGTATTATATCAAACACTTGGAGGGCACAAAAAGAACCCATACCAAGTATTCAAAATGTCATCGAAAAAGCTTCACATGTATATTTTCCGAACAACTTTTACACATGAAGATGTCATAGTGACGGTTTTTATTTTTTATGCTGAACATCACTATTGTTTGATTTTGGCCTAATCAGATAAAAAAAATACATGTTTTCAACTCCGATCCAAAAAATTTCATGAATGAATATCAATTCAATTTCCGAATTTCATAAACTCGTGCCAATTCGGATTACTTTCGGAAATGTCAAACTTGTGCCTGCAAATATCTCTTTAAATTTTCTTAAATAATGTTATAGCCCAGAAGTTCTAAGCCCACCCAAGCTTTCATCTTTGACTTTTCCCCAGTCCAGGAAAACCCGAAAGCCCATTCCCAAGGCCCAAATCCACCCAAATTTATCTTTACAAAAACTAAGGGCAATTTATTCAAAGCTGAGCAAGATATAGAGATTTTGGGGAACTTGGTTGGTTTGTCATGGTTTACACGAAAATTGTATGACTCCAACAGTATTAAGTTACTAACCTCTTATGAATAAACATTTGGGTGTGACCGTGTAATCGGGAATCTATTCTCGTATATCTGTTTGACTCATAACTTGGGAAAGTGAAATGTAAATACATACACGAATTTCAACTCACAACAAGAAGTCAATTCAAAATTTTTGACGTATCTTGAAATCGGCTGAGCTTTTATGTAATCAACAACAATATGTGAGTGCATTCATGAAAATGAAAATGATACTTAAAACATCACACATTTGACGGTCCATACTACATCGAGTAAATCTGACGGTATAATACCCTAAGCCATGAAATATTTTCCTACAAAAATGGAAGAAAAAGAACGTGAAGACATGAGCTTCTCACTCACTCATTAAGTTCTCACATCAAGGTTAAGACTGACCAAACAAGATGGAAGAGTGACAACCAAAAATATATGGTTTACCAAAATCGTATAAAAACGACGACGTCCTCTCTGGCTCTCCCAGCACAACTTTGAAACGTGTCATTAATTTTGTAGTTTGTTTTATTGATCGACATAAATTTTGCATTTGTGGACGGGATCCATGTGTACTTCTCCCACATAATTTTGGGAGCGTGAGTACCATTTTGCCCTTCTCATCATATCTCAAAACATTGTAATTGTGGGTGGCAATATGCAAATTCGTTTTGTTTTTTATGTACGACAAAGTAGTTCAGAAAATTTAATAGTTATTAGATACTACGCGTATTATTTTTAATTAAATTACCAAGTTTGAGTGAAATTCTAAGCAATAGCCAGTCGATTGGACATAAATCAATATATGTAAAAGAAATGGAATTATTACTGGTACTTCAAATATTTTACTTTACATTTTAAATTTTTTATATTTGAAAAGAAAAATACACTTATAAGAAGTGTATAATGAGATTTTAGAATGTCAATAATACTCCTAAAAGAAAAAGAGTAAATTATTTATTTATGGTAAAAAAAGAAGGAAAGAGATCATCCCAGATCTCTTCCATCAAATCTTAAGGATTAAGTGATCTGAGTTTTTAAAATTTGATCAAACGGTTAAAATTATTATAACTTTTAAAAACGGCTTCTATTTTTAACTATTGGATCAAATTTTAAAAGTCCAAATCAATTGATCCGTAAATTTTGATAGAAGAAATCCGAAGATGATCTTTTTTTCCAAAGAAGAGGGGGAAGAAAATGAGAGGACACAATCATATCTAACATAATCGAGTCGAGGGCATAATTGGGTTTTCACATAGAATTGGCCAGCAAGACGAAGCAGGACTACCGAAATTGCTACTGGCTTCAACTCCCTCCCTGTTTCGAGCCATGCTAATCAATTTTCCCAAGCTCGGTTGTTGAAACAAAGAAAAGCCAGAAGCATATCTTCACTCTCTCTGCTTTTCACAAAATCTCAGCTCAAGAAAAAAGCACCCAAACATGGCCTTCGTCTCGCAGCTAACCCTAAACCCTCTGTTGCTAAACCCGCCGCGCCACCGTCTCACCTCCAAGCCTTGCCTCCTCCTTTCGCGAAACTCCGTGGGGATCACCGCTGCCAAATCCACTAACAAATTCAATTTGATCGTCGGGGCCCGACCATCGACCCGGATCCGATCGGCGAACGATGACGAGTGGGGCAACGAGAGGGAGGTCGAGTCCGGCGGGGATGTAGCTGTGGCCGTGGAGGAGAAGCCGGCTGAGCCGGAGCCAGCGGAGATTAGTCAGCTGAAGAAGGCTTTGGTGGACTCGTTTTACGGGACTAATCGTGGGCTGAGCGCCACCAGCGAGACCCGGGCCGAGATTGTGGAGCTTATTACCCAGTTGGAGGCCAAAAACCCGACTCCGGCTCCGACTGAGGCCTTGCCTCTCCTCAATGGCAAATGGATTCTAGCGTAAGTAGCTCCAACTCCGCCTATTTATTTGTCACTACAATTTAGTGATATTATACTCTGCTTACAGCCCACTAATTGTGTAACTTAATCAAAATTTCGATGCATAGATGTGACTTAAATCAAAATTTCAATGGAAAACTAACGAAAAATCAATTTTTTTTTATTTTTAATGAAAAGTCTTTTTAAAGGACAATGAATAGTATCAGGAAAGTTTGAATGTGGTTTTTTGTTAAAATAAACAGTACGGAGGGTTGTTAAAACTTCCAAATTCCAACGTAGAGTAAAATATTGTTATGGTAACTGAGAGAGATTTAAATTTGGTGGACGAGTTCGAAATCAATTCATTCTCCCGCCACTTGGTGTAAATATATAGTAAATGAAAATTTCATGGAATAAGTAGTATTTATTCTCTACTTCATATAGTTTAGTAAATAATTTGTATTGTTAGGCTCCTTAGAGTTGCCGCAATTGAAGATAGGACAAGAGAACATTAGTTAAGATGGTTTGGACGCGTAAACCGAAGACTTACAGATGCTTTGGGATAAAACTTGATTGTTGTTTTTGTAGGCTCCTTAGTATGGCAGTGTGGCCACTATTTTGCAGGGTTCTCGCACAGTTTAGAGTAGTTTTAAATATCGCATTGTTAAAAAAGAAGAAGAATTTGTTGACTTAAATTCAGCGATTCATATAGACAATTTGTTTTACAGGTACACTTCATTTGCGGGTCTGTTTCCATTGTTGTCAAGAGGGACGCTTCCATTGGTGAAGGTTGAAGAGATATCTCAGACAATTGACTCTGAGAATTTTACCGTACAAAACTCTGTCCAGTTTGCTGGACCGCTGGCTACCACTTCCATCAGCACGAACGCGACATTTGAAGTCCGAAGCCCCAAGCGCGTCCAGGTTTGGTTAATTCATTCCCCTTTCATTGCTCAGCATATCTTTGAAAATGATTTGATTAATTTCTTAGATGTAGTTTGGGCGAAGTTTTACTTTCAGCATTTCATTTGTGGCCAATTACTTCCGTAGATTACCAACTGTTACAGTTCAAAGATAGTTTGCTTTAATACCTCATTTGCTATTTTATTGACGAAACTAAGCTTTTTGTAGCAATTAGGTAAATGCAGAACCATAGTAGAACTTCGCCCAAAGTACATGGTGGTGGCATGATCACAACCATTTTGTGTCTAATTGTTTATATCCTCTTGAAAGCTAGCTAGCTCATTAAATTTGAAGGAACAAACATGATTCAATTTAGGGTTCTCTGGAACGTTGGAAACTAATTATGAAACTATTGATTCAGCTGTAAATGGGTTTTGTTTCGATTACTTTGTTGATTCAGATTAAGTTTGAAGAAGGCGTAATTGGCACCCCACAGCTAACAGACTCGCTGGTGATACCGGAAAATGTTGACTTTCTAGGACAAAAAATCGAACTCGCACCCTTCAAGGGTTTGCTCAATTCTGTTCAAGACACTGCTTCATCTGTTGTAAAGACCATCTCCAGTCAACCCCCTTTTAAGTTCTCCATCCCAAGTAGCAATGCCCAGTCGTGGTTGCTAACCACGTACCTCGACGGAGAGCTCCGGATTAGCAGGGGAGACAACGGCAGTGTGTTCGTGCTAATCAAGGCAGGCAGCCCCCTCTTGACTCGCTGAACAGAACTCGCTATAGCAACGTTTCTGGTGCGTGATATATGTATGTACGTGTTCAAGGACATGGGATGTAATTTTCTACAATGAAGGAATAAACTGAATATGTCTTGTGAAACAATGTTGTACTTAGTAGACTGAATTAGGCGTATCCAAGTTGGCTAGTCTGCACCTAAGTTCAAATCTTCTCAGTGTAATTTAGAATTTTAAATTAAATTTGATAAAAACAAAAAAAAAAAAAAGTCTTATCCCATTAAGTGAGGTTGGCTGTATGAATTCTAGAACGTCGCTGCGTTTGGGTTTTCGCCAAATCTTATGTTAGCTTTAAGCCTTTAAGTACTCCTATGTTTTTTCTCGGAGTCTCCTTCCACGTCTTTTTAGTTCTTCTTTTACCCCTTTTTCCATGAGCTTCTATCTCATAATCGCATCTTTTAACTAGAGCAGTATAGGTCTTCATTCACATATTCAAACCACCTTAATATATATATATATATATATGTATATGAAGTTTGTCCCACAAAAACATGAAACAAACTTCATAATGTATTCCCAGGACTCGAAATGTCTATTTTTTTAGGTATTCCCTCAAAAATCATAACTACCAAATTTCACCAAATCTAAAACCATTTGTCCGTTGGATTAAGGGTTTAGGGTTTCTTTGTAGAACTGTATTCGTCTATTTTCTTTACTACAAATGAATGTCTGAATAGTTTTGGGCTTGTCTAATTTTTTGCAAGCATGTTCTATGAATGATGTTTTAAAAGATAGACGGTTCGGATTATTAAAATACATTAAGAAGTGGGTCTCACAAAAACGCGTGTCAAAAGTTGTGTTAAAAAAAAATGGAGCGACGGCAATGTAGATGCTTGTGTTGAACACTAGGTGAAAAGAATGTACAAAAGGAAACTAATAAACTAAGCAAAGGTAAATGCTTGTATGGGTAAAGCTAGAAAATGGTGACCTTAATTGTTCGATCCCCTTTTATGCTTTATTATTCGACATTCTTTGTTAATTAACTAAGTCAAGTATATAGTAGAAGCAGTAGCAGCAGCAGCTAGCCTATAAATCAAAGCGACAACAGCCACATTACGCACCGCGAAGTTAGCTAGTACTAAAAATGGGGTACTGGAGAACGCTAGCGGTTGTGCCAGATCCAAACAGGGTGGGAAAAGAGGGAGAGGATACTTTAAGGCGAATTGCAAACTTGAAATGTCCCTATCAATGTGCCATGGAGGATAACTGGGAAGGCGTAAAGGAATACTTAGAGGAAAATCCCGAAGAACTGCTCAATCAAATGACGGTGGGAGGGGACACTGTGTTTCACCTTGCGGCTTCTTTGGGCAGCAAATCACAAGGCAAAAGAGTCCTCCAAGTGTTGATCAATATACTCAGGAATTCGACCAGCTATGCCGAGAGTTCGGCCCTAAGGGTTCCGAATAACAACGGAAACAATACTCTTCACGAGGTGAGTGCGTCCGGCAATGTGGAAGCGGCAAACTACTTGGTGAGCAACTTCAACATGCCTGCTCCGGAAGAGATCATCATCAGTACTAGTGCACGTAGTACTGATAAAGAGAATGATGCGCTGCCGCTGCTGGAGACACGGAACCATTTAGGAGAAACTCCGCTCTTCAGGGCCGCTGCTCTCGGTCACACTGACTTGGTCAAGTTTTATGCTGGCAAACTGCTGGAGGATAATCGGGTCAATCTTTGGATGCACTTCCACAGAAATGACAAAATGTCTATTCTTCATATCGCCGTCATTGCACAACATTTCGGTCTCTCTCTCTCTCTCTCTCAGAAAATGCACACACTGATTCCAAAATGCAGACTAATAACTTTTGCTCCTTTGTATTCCACAATACAGAGACTGCTCTTTGGTTACTGGAGTGCTGCCCCTCTCTAGCGCACCAAACTGAAGATAAAGGATTGACAAGTCTTCAATTGCTAGCCCAAATGCCAAGTGCCTTTGAGCCACAATATCAACGAAGCAAATGGAAGATGCTAATTTATTATTGTATGTATCAATACTCTACATACTGCTACATGTGTGCAGACGTATGTACTGCTCCATATACGCGTGTGTGCACCCACGTTTTTTTGTTTTGCCCTTTTTTTATTTTTATTTTTATGAAGCTGTAATATGAATACTTAATTGTTATATACGTAGGCCTTCCTGCTTATGGAGGAGATGTGGTCACACCAAATCAGAAAGATGATGTAGAGATCAACTTGGTTAGCAACCAGCCGCGCCGTCAATCCATCTCTAGGAACAAGCTTTCAGGTAACCTAATTAATTAAACAAATAAAGTACGTACACTTAGCTAGCTAAAGCGTTCCATTAATCCGCACTTTTTTCAATGTTTCTGATGAAGGTGCATGCATAAAATGTTTTGCAGGCTTTGCTAGGGTTTACTCTTCAGTATGGGACTCCCTTGCTAAAAGTTTGTTTACTTTCTGCCTTTTCCTCAGTGCATTTCATGACACTGGACACTTGTTAAAACTCTAAAAAAGAAACATTATTTACTCATTTCTTATGATTTTACATGAGAAGATGAAGAGTGCATGATAACTTCTTTAGAGTGCCGATAACATCTCCCTATGACATGTTAGTTACTATATATATGCTTGATCATGTGATGAATAGGAACAGAAGGCTCGCAGGGCGGCATAATCTACAAGATATGGAAGGACAAGAAAAACAAAAAATCACTAGAGAAAATCGTCCCGTTGCTCGTTAATTCGGACTATTCTTGGTTGAGTAGTAACAAGCAAGCAGACACCAAGACCATTTCTCTGGGGTCAGTGGAAACTCTTAGTAAAGATGGTGATGATGACGGAGACGAAAAAGGAAAGGCAGCCTCAAAAGCAACCAAATCAGAGGGATATGGTGATGATGGAGGTAAAAAAGGAAAGGCGGTAGCAGAAGCAACCAAATCGGATAAGGGGGTGACGACTAAGGTTTATGACTCTACCCCACTGATTATAGCAACTGTCAAAGGAACTGTGTCCATTGTGAAGGAGATACTTGAGCAGCATCCTCAGGCGGTTGAGCACATTGACAAAAACGAACGCAACATTTTGCATGTGGCCATTAAGCATCGTCAGAAAGCAATCCTTAAGCTTATCAAAAGCAAACCAAGCGTGATGTCGAGGCTGAATGAGAGGATTGACTGCGATGGCAACACCGTATTGCACCAGGCTGCAGATAGGAGTTACTACTCTATATCATTGTCTCAAAATTTAATTGGCCCTGCCATGCAATTGCAAGCAGAGCTACAATGGAGGCTGGTAATATTCTTTTGCTAGACTTAATTATATTGTCAGACAAATACTTCTTTTACTGATTATGTTGATCGACCTGATAAATGTCGGTGTACGTGTCCACTGTCCAGCATGTGCAAGATATACTACCGCCTCATTATGGCTTGCACCATAACAACAAGGATCAGACAGCAGAGGAGCTGTTCTACGATGAGCATAACGAACTCCTGAAGTCAGCACAAGAATGGGTAAAAGAAACGGCTCAGTCATGCTCAACCGTGGCGGTGCTAGTGGCCACTGTGGTATTTGCAGCCGCCTACGCCATCCCCGGGGGTAATGACCAAAGTGGCCGTCCTGTTTTCCAGGACGATCCTCTCTTTTTGCTCTTCACCTGCATGGACATTGTGGCCATCGCCTGTTCATTATCTTCTGTGGCATTCTTTCTCTCGGTCCTCTCCTCCCCTCTCGAGTATCCACTCTTCATCACCAATATTCCTCGCAAGATCATGATTGGTTTCATCTTGCTCTTCTTGTCAATGGCAACCACCATGCTCGCCTTTGCCGCCACTATTTTACTCCTGATTCGCGTCGAGAAGAAATGGACCAAGTCTATACTTTAACCTATTGCCTTTTTCCCAGTCCCTCTATTCGGTTTGCTGCAGTGTCCTATGTATCATTCTTGCAAAGCCATGTTTCAGAAAATTGATGCCTGGGTTTTGAAGCCCTTCCGCCGCATTCTCGGCTTTTCCAAGAGGACATCAATATGCAGTAAGAGTAAGGCGTATTGAACCAGGAAGCATGAGACATAACTTTTCGTTATGTGTGGTTCAGATTCACATCCTTACAGCAAAGATTTGTAGTTATCATCTGAATATTTCGGATTTTCTTATTTCTCCCCCTTTTTTACAATTTTACTGTCTTCATTCACAAGTATGGAAATAAGTGAAGAATGAAAGGCTTATAAGGGGTAACGTTTATGTCCCCCTAACTAGATATAACTTCTTTTTTTCATATCAATAAAATTCCTTCGTACTTCTTAAAAACAAAAAAAATTGAAGAATATTGAAAGGCTTGTCGCAAATTGTATGCTAAAGATAACGTCTCATGCATGCTTTTATAGATTTGTATAATTGTAATTTGTGTTTATATGGCATCCTTAACGTGGATAGAATCTTCTCCATCTCAGGTACAATTCTTACCATTTCTTCTTTCTAAATTAAAATAATAATATCACTTATAATAAAAATAAAAATAAAAATAATAATAAAAAGTACAGGCATATTTAAGCTATCTTCTACATTCACTTTGGCATGATAATCACTCAATATTTTTCTCGGTCGAAAGGGAGAAAAATATTTGCAAGTCTTAATAATATGCATTGAGATTTGTACTTACAAGACTTAATAATGCTTAATGGGTGATTCTAGAGAAGTCACTTTCTTGAATCATATTTTGCAAACTACATGATGTGATAATCGATGATTTAATTCCTTCTTTAAATAATTTAAAAAAACAATCGTCAACCACCACATCATGTGGTTTGCAATATAAAGTTTCAAAACATGGTCTTCCTAACATTTTCCATACCTAATTAGAGTAGACTTGGAGATCTAATAATACCTAATTACTGTGATACTGCTCTTATTTGACTGGTTAGACTGCTCAATTCAAATGTTTCTAGTCGAGGAGAGAGGTGAGTGAAGGGGAAGAAAAAGTGAGGTGTGGCGTGGGCTGAGAGGACAGAGCAAACATTTTCTTCTTTGACGTTCTCTCCTTCCAACATGTCCGTCGTCTCTTCCTTCAAATTTTTATGATTTAATAGAAATAGAAGTAGAAACATAAATCGAAATCAAAATTAATGAGAATTGGGGAGAAGTAATTTATGGATGCCAAAAGGATGTTGCCAACACCAACACATGCTTTTGATGGAGTCTTCATCACCCTCTACAACGTTGCGCTCGATAATGAAACAAATTATTTTTGGTTTTTGTACAAGTAATATATGAGTGGCTGAAATTATGAAGGCCTTCAATAACATTCATCACATCTCTTGCCTTTACTTTAATACGGGAAATCTTACATTTAAAGAAAGGCTTTGAAGCCAAGAAAATGACAACATCAGGATACAATAGTATGTAGACAATTACAATAAAACCAAGTTCAAGATTATGCTTCACATATGTTCAAAATAGACAAGGAGATGCGGTACAGATCATCTATGAGAATCGAAAAGAGACCGAGGGCAAACGCAAGCAAGATTGCGTGAGATCATCTATGAGGTACATAACTTTTTGTTTATTATGAAGTCTTCCAATTTGGTGTCTCAGGGTATGTATATGAAGTTTAAACCACATTGATGCGAACATGTATGTATATATTTGGTAACGCTCCCGATCCAGTGTCTTGCAACTGTGTATGTGTACCTGTTTACACTGCAACCACCTCTTATTTCCTGGCATGGTTCCTGAAGCTGCGATAGTTGCAGCTCTGATTTCCTGGCTTCCATGGACTTATACATCATGTAATTAAAATTGCCTTTCTATGTAGTTTTGTACTGTTAATTCGGTGGTACCTGTTGAATATATCCCAGTTTCAAACTGGATTAGTTTTTAAGACTAAATTGTATTGGCTTCACATGACATAAATAATATAAATATTCGACTTTCTTTTTCCTGGGTAGAGTTGTGTCTGCACTTGGAATATTGATGACATGGAACATCCACGATTTCTTCTAATTTTTCTCACAGAAAAAGAAAAAAGAGAAAGAAACATGATTTGTCTAGGAGAATCTTTTTATCATGTAACCGAAATAAAAAGATGAATGATTGTAAGTGTGAAGGGACGAGGAATTGGCCCATCAAGATTACTGTGGAGCCAAAAATAATCACAAGGCGACACGTGGATTTTTGACAAAAGAAGACAAAACTACCCTTGAGGCATACCGGGATTCCTACGCGCAAGCAGCAGACAATTATCCCTTAACCAAGTCAAAAGTGTCCAAAATAGGTATCAACTTAAAACCTAATTTATTCATATATTTCCCATTTCATTATTTAGCTAATCAATTAACTAAATAATATACTTATTCCTTTCATATTTCCTAAAATCATAATAATTGACTAATTAAGGGATTAATTACCTAATCAATCTCTTAATTATCAATTGAAACGCCCATCCAAAGCTAAAACTACTAAAGTGGCCAGCCAATCCCATCAAGAAAAGTAAACCATCTTATTCTCCACCTTTTCCACTATTTTCCCTTTTTAATTACCCTAATTAACTAGCCAATTAATTCCAAAAACCACCAAAACATTCATTTTATGTTTAATAGCCAAATAAATTGGCTAATTAAACCTAAATCAAACACAGAAACCCTAGCTAGGCCGGCCACCCCCATCCCTATAAATAGATTCCCATTTTCACCAAAAGATCATTCAAATTCTCTTACAAAAAATCCCAAATACTCTAAACACTATTTCTCTCTAAAATTCTAACTTTGGCATCGGAGGTTCTTCGGCCAAAGCCCCCCCCCCATTCATCGTGGGCGCGTGAGGCTTTTGGCCTTAACCTAAGGTGCTAGTTGTTTTGTAGGTGCAAAATCGTCCAAGATCGAGGAGGAGAAAATTTGCATCCACAAATCGGTGCTTTCATTGAGAGTTGAAATCCATACTCGTAGAAGACTCTCGCACAAAAATGTTTTTTCTTTATTTTCTAGTCCATTTGAATATTTTTCATACGTTCTTATTATTAGAATTTTTTACTTGCAAAGGTTCTTTGATAAAACGTATAAGCAAAATATAATGGCTAGAAATTTAGAAAATTCCACAAGTGAAAATTCTAATATTCAAGAAATGGGATTGCGGAGATCCGTGAGGCTAAATGCGACAATAAGTGGAGCAGCACCACCACCATGGGAACCATCACGGTGGCTACCTCGGTAGCCACCCGTGGCGAGGTCCATGGTGCATTCACCACGGCTCGAGCCGAGCTATCCAAGGCTCACGGCACCTAGGCCATGGCCCAAGTCGTGTCATCCAAGTTTGCACGGGCCCGGGCCCAAGCCTCGCATTCGTATGCATCACATACTAAGCAGCCTGCTCCCGCCAAGCAGCTTACTTTCATGGCCTAGCATGCTTCTGCCAAGCAGCCTGCTCTCATGACCCAGCCTGCTCCCGACGAGCAGCCCACTCCCGTGGCCCAGCCTGCTTTCATCGAGCAACCCACTCCCATGGTCTAGCCTGCTTCCGTCGAGTAGCCCACTCTCACGGCCCAACCTGCTTCTGCCAAGCAGCCTGCTCTCGTGACCCAGCCTGCTCCCGACGAGCAGCCCACTCCCGTGGCCCAGCCTGCTCCCGACGAGCAGCTCACTCTCATAGTCCAGCCTGCTTCCGTCGAGCAGCCCACTCTCATGACCCAACTTGCTCCTGCCGAGCAGCTTACTCTCGTGACCCAGCCTGCTTCCGACGAGTAACCCACTCCTATGGCCCAGCTAGCTCCAGTCGAGCAGCCCACTCTCACGGCTCATCCTGCTCCAGTGGCTTTCCAAGCAGCCCAAGTCAGCCCAAGACTATCTCAACCATCCAGATCTACCATCAAGTCGGGGGCATTCTCACCATATTTTTTTACGGATTTGACATTTCCCAACTCAAATCTCACGCCCGGAGTCTACCACTCTTCCACTGCCTAAGGAGGCGCATTTCTTCCAAGCTCTTCCAATCCAAATGGCAAACAACACTTGTCTCGACAAGTCATAGAGTTGACGAGCGCCCTTGCACAACAGACAACCTTGGTGAATCAACTTTGGCAACGCATCGGGATCCAACGTGCCCCGGACGAGGTATCCTGAAGTAGGACAAGGGCAGACGGACCTTTCCAGCAGCGTCCCGGCAAGCAGCCACTTGACCAGCCACAAGCCGAACGTTTAGGCAGTATACATTCCCGTCTTAGTGCGCCGAGGAGCATGCACTCTCGACTAGGCCCACGGATGAGCATACATTCACGGTTGGGGTCATACTCCGATAGTCAACATGAGCAACCTTCCGGACAAATTGTCTATTCGCGGCTAAGCCCATAAGGAGCATCCTCCAGCTTATATCAGAGTAGGTAGCACGACGGACGGAGAGAAGCAATCACTCAATCCAGCTCAAGTTCAACCAGCAGCCTGCGAAGAATTCGTTCGCCTGCTAGGAACGCACCACATGCATTGCATCCGCGGCATAGACGAGCCAAACACATGGAAGAGCAACCTAGACCAGCAAGTCATGGCTGGGGGCAGCCGAGAGCTCCGCTACCCCAACAAAGGTAAATTCAAGAAGAAGTAGAGAGACTATTAACCAAGCGATTGCATGATTTCCAACGCAACGAGGTCACCGACAAGGCACTACAACGGAACATGACGAACATAAGCAGGTCACCCTTCACGGACGAGATCGAGCAGGCAAAGCCTCCACGCGAGTTCAGCATGCCACATTTCACATCTTTCAAAAGGGATGAAGACCCGGAGAGACACTTAAAGTATTACTGAAGCGCAATGATCCTTTATCGAAACAACGATGATCTCATATGCAAGATATTCACCACCACTCTACAAGGTGAGGCGCAAGATTGGTTCTACACCCTGCCGCCACAATCCATCCGGAATTTCTACGAACTTTCTTTGGTTTTCACCAAAGAATAGTCATCTTATCGCTCGATAAAAAAGAAGTCTGACCATTTGTTCGACGTCAAGAAGAACCCAAAGGGGTCGCTTCGCGACTATGTGAGGAGGTTCAAAGTAGAGAAGGCAAAAATAGTCGGATGCAACGATTCGATAGTTAGAGCAGCTTTCCAAAAAGGACTTCCAGCAAACCACCCGCTATTCGAAAAATTGATCATGAAAAAAGATCTAACTCTAGCAGACTATTTTGCTTTGGCAGAGAAGTATGCACTTTGGGATGAGGTTTGCCAATGCACATTCAAGGACTTGAAGAAGTACCCGACATCACCTCCCTAGAAGCAGCGGATGACTTATTCGCATGTTTGACGGTATCCAAAGTAACAATAAGCTCTACCATCATGCGAGAGGAGCTGGGGGCCCGACTACCTGTATTTTACAGTTCAAAAGCTCTCATCGATGCTATTAAAATTCAAAAGCTAACTGTGGCGATAATTGTTGTAACCTAAAAGCTTAACTTTTACCTTCAAACGCAAGCAGTCATCATCATGACGTACTATTCCGCCGAATCTAAACCGGCAACGATAAAGGCGTAGACCCTGATAGATGCAAAGTTTTCTGACGAACGCAACAACTCGGCCCAACGACGCCCCTAAGGCAGCCGAGCACACTTTAGCCACACCTGCTCCCTCAATGGAGATTTCTAGCCTTTGCATGTTGACGGTACATCCAACTACAAAGGCTTGTGAGCAGCTGTGGTTCTTGCCACCCCAGACATTTCAATGCTCAAGCAGGCGATCACTCTAAACTTCAAAGCATCTAACAACGAAGCAGAGTACGAAGCCCCACTAGCAGGCATTCGAATGACAAAATACTTGGTGGTGAAAAAGCTTTCCATTCATTCCGAGTCCTAGCTAATCACTAGCCAGACTACCAGGGGCAAAGGCATGATGAAGCAGAGCCTATGACGATCATGGTTCAGACAGACATAGAGCGCTTCATATGAAGGAGTATCATTTGCCGATTTGGCATCCTTTAATCCATCGTCACCGACAACGGCCCGCAATTCGTGGGCAAAGATTTGACGAAGTTCTTCAAAAAATATGGCATCAAGTAGCACATGTCTACGCCAAGATATCCTCAAGGCAATAGGCGAGCCAAAGCATCCACTAAGATGATCTTCGACTGCCACAAGAATCCCCCACCAATAAGAAAAGAAAATGGCCAGACGAACTCCAATGATGTCTCTGGGCATATCGCACAACCAAAAGACGAGCAACCGAAATGAGATGGCCACAAGCTTAGATCTGGCAGAAGAGAGGCGCGAACAGACAATCACTCACATTGTAGCCTACCAGCATCAGCTCCTCTCCAGCTACAACAAAAGGGCCAAGATCCGGCAGTTCCAGCCCGGAGATCTGCTCATAAGAAAAACCTTCATCACTGCCAGAAAAAAAGGTTCCAAAAATATGGATCCTATCTGGGAAAGTCCGTACAAGATCAGCAGAGTAGGTGGCAAGAACAATTACACCCTCGCCACCATAAAACGACAAAAAGATCAAAGATCAAAAAATAGTGGGACGCCTACAATCTGAGGAAGTACCATGTGTGAACTCTCGCTACATCAAAGCCCGAAGACTCAAGCAGCTCGACGGGCACTACCTTACAAGTTGAGGATTATCCAGTTGAAGACCGCGCATTTCTTAGGGACTTACCGCATGAATTGCGCCCCCCGAGGGACCAACTATGCTCTCCAGTGCGAGAGGGTAAACTAATTGCTCTCCAACACGAGAGGGTAAACCAATTCCTTGACACCCACATGGGTCAGCTCTCCAAGAACGGGAGGATAAACTCTACACTCCGAATATCCAGACGTGGATGAGCCGGGCTGCCCTAGTATAACGAGATGCACGATGGCTTGCGCTGGGATTCCTAGAAGTAGCCGCAATGGTCTTTTTCAAGGCTTAGCTAACTGAAGGATTTTGGGTCTCTTGGCCTAATCCGTGGGGAACCGGGCTCTAGAGACGGAGAGGGCACATTACGCAGTACATCCGATAGACGGCTGCCCTGGAATCCTAAAGTTGCTACTGAGTGCACTAAGGTAGCCTACGGATTCCGGAAGACTGCCTACGGCTTGCCCTTCGAGCAGTAAAGCCGCACTAGACTTATACAACCACACATTCTTGTGAAAGGTTAAACAAACTAGCACTCATATACAAAGTTTTATCCACTGCCGACATGCTACGTAGACGATAAGCTTCACCTCTACCAAGCGCGGAACAACCTACAACAAGTCTTAAAGTGTTGTGATACTTGCTACGCAACCTACGAAATTGGAGAAAGTCAAGGTTAACAGCTTAGTGGTTACGCGGACTTGTCTGCTTCTGTAAGTAAGGCATCCGGCTGCCAACCCTATGGCTAACAACTTTGCAAAGTTTTACACCAACACCTACGGCTGCATAGGCTACGCGGGCTTGTCTGCTTATAAAAAAGTAGCATGCCTGCCACTGGTCTATCAAGTCTAAAGGTTAGGGCATGAACAAAAGAAGTGAAGATGAAGAAAAACGAAGGAAAACATGTTTATAAACAACTAGCAAAGGCCGAATGAGTTCAAGCAAAACAAGAGTTACAAGGAAAAACAAATAAAATCCTAAAGGCTACCTAGAAGACTATAGCAGCTTGGACATCCCACGACTATTCGGTCGCCACACCTTCAGCAGCCGCAACGCTCTTAACAGTGGTATCATCCGGCGCTTCACCCTCGGCTGCCCCAGCCTGGGCACTAACTTCTCCAACTACTTCACCAATGGAAGCCTCAAAAGTAAAATCAAGCAAGTCTTCCGGAGAATAGAGAAGGTCTCAAAACCCCGAGCTAAGCTTTTTCACCTTTCAACTGCTCATCTTCCTCGAGCAGACTAACATGGATGCTCTGCAGCTCATCCACTTCCTTCTTCAGACTTTCGTTGATCTTCAGTACACCTTAAAGTTCCAACACTTAGGGTTCAAGCCTATCGACGATTCTCTTGAAGTGGATCACTTGATTATAAGCAGCAATCAACTTTTCATCCTTTGCATAAGCAGCGAAACAAAGCTCAGAAACTGCAAACTCAAGATCTTGAATCTGAGGTATGTAACATCCAATCTCCTTCTCTGCACTTTCATGCTTAACTTGGATCGCGTCAAGCCTAGTTTTCAAGTTAACGATTGGCCCTGCAATGCAATTGCAAGAAGAGCTACGTTGGATGCTGGTAATGTTCTCTTGCTAGACCTGATAAAATACTTACGTTGTTAGACAAGTACTTGTGTTACTAATTAAGTCGGTTCACATGGAAAAAGACATGTTGTTAGACAAATACCTCTGTAACAAAACCTATACATCAACATGATAAATGTGTACGTCTATTTGTGTCAGTGTGTAAAAGAGATACTACCGCCTCGGTACACCTTGCACCGCAACAAGAAGGATCAGACACTGAGGAGCTGTTCAACTACCAGCATAACGGTCTTCTGAGGTCGGCACAAGAATGGGTAAAAGAAACGGCTCAGTCATGCTCAACTGTGGCGGTGCTAGTGTCCACTGTGGTCTTTGCAGCTGCCTACGCCATTCCCGGGGGTACTAGTGACCAAAGTGGCCTTCCTCTTTTCCGAGACGATCCTCTCTTTTTGTTCTTCACCTGCATGGACGTTGTGGGCATTGCCTGCTCATTATCTTCTGTGGCATTCTTTCTCTCTGTCCTCTCCTCCCCTCTTGAGTACCCATATTTCGTTAACAGTGTTCCTCGCAAGATCATGACTGGATTCATCTTGCTTTTCTTGTCAATGGCATCCACCATGCTCGCCTTTGCCGCCACCATTTTGCTCTTGATTCGTGTAGAGAAGAAATGGACCAAGTCTGTACTTTACCCTATTGCATTTTTCCCAGTCCCTCTATTCGGCCTGCTGCAATTTCCTATGTATCAATCTTTCATAGTCATGTTTCGGAAAATTGATGACTGGATTTTCAGCCCCTTACGCTGCCCTCTCGGCTTGTCCAAGAGGAGATCAATATGGGGCAAGCGTAAGGCGTATTGAATCACATAAGCTTTTCGTCGAGGCGGAATTTGTGGTTCAAATTCACAATCTTGCAGCTGAAGTTACAGATGTGTTTGTATTTATCATTTGAATATTTCATTTGGGTTCTTCTTCTTTTCTCCCCAATATAATGTCACAATTTTATTGTGTCTTTGTTTTAAGTTATGGGCAATTAGTGAAGAATAAAGAGGCTTGTTTCTATGCTAAAGATCTGGTATCATGCATAGTTTTAGGCTTGTTTGGTTGTACTTTTTAAATGACTGAAAATACTTTTAGAAAAAATATTTGTGGGTTCTAAAAGCACTTTAAGTGCTTTTTACAAGAAACATTAGTTATGTGCTTTATCCAGAAAGCAATTTAAGTGCTTTTCCAGAATTTACTATTATTTTTACTAAGGATTGTTTCTAAAAATATTTTCACCAAAAGAGTTTTCATTCATTTTAAAAGCACATCCAAACGAGCTCTTTGTTTAATTTGTATTTATAATTTGAGTTTATATAGTATAGCCGAGCAGCATAGCAAAATTGGAAAGAGTAGTGTGTTCCCCTCTTTACACTGAAGTCCGAATCAGCTCTCTACTTGTTTTGAGTTTGACAAGACCCGCTAACTCCGCTAAGTCTGCAGCAGCAGTAACAAAATGCACTGCCCTGCCCTGCTGAACATGTGCTGCTTCTTGATCTGTTGTTGCTGAGACTTTCACTCAGAAAAATGTCTAATTAATACATTGGAAATTCTGCTTGCTAATCTTGTATATATTCTCCAACGGACAGAGCCCTTGCAGGTTGTCGATAGAATATTCTCGAAGGTTGAAACTGAATTCAAAGAAATTGAATACGTTCGAGATTATCAGCTTATGCAAATTGATAAACACATCTTGAAAACTTAGAAAGGAAGCATTGTGCCAAAGCTACACAAGAATGTGAGGACAACTTAAAAAGAAATTGAGGTGAAATGCGATGATGAGGAAGACACAAGCTTACTGAAATGAGTGACTGTGACGATGGATCGGAAAATGAACGAAAATCCGTTCGATGAGATCATATCAATTTAAGAAGCACAACTGCGGAAGGCAGTACAAGCACGAGAAGGTGCAAACAAGTGGCGCCAGGATCTTGAAGAAGAGTATGAAGACATAGAGGTAACTTCTACATAAGAATTCATATACAGATTTGTTGCGGACAATTTTGCTAACATGAGCTTGTCTTCTCCATCTTTAACATGGCATGATTCTCCTCCGATGGCGGTTCGTGCTACTCTGTTTTCTGACTATGTTGGCTTGCTTGGTTACCGCTTCTTAAATTAATGTGCATGTCGGCATTAGGTTTGTCTCACTTTCTTTTTTTTTCTCCTATCTTTATGGTGTTGTTTGATTTGTTTTACAGGTTTAGACCTTCATGTTTGGTTCTAGAGGGGTTAGGTTTTATGTCCCCCCTCTTTTCTTTGTTTCATTCTCATTTTTTGTTTCTAAAAGGGTAAAGTGTATGTCCCCCCTTCTTTCTAGTGTATTCCTTTTTGTTGTCTTTGTTTTTTGGATGGATAAGGTTTATGTCCCCCTAACTAGGTGTAACTTGTTTTTTCGTTATTAATAAAATTACCCTCGTACCGTCGAGGTTTTCCAAAAAAAAAAAAAACCACTTTCTCTTTCGCTGGCTTTCCCAACACCCTTCAAAGGACATGAGGTGTAATTTTAAACAATGAATGAACATTATAAAACTGAATATTTCTTGAGAAATAATGTTTTTTAGTTGTTGAAAATTAATATGGTAGAAAAAACAGACCTAAGCTTACCAAAGTTGACTAGTCGACCGCAGACTCCATAAACTCTGCACTAAAGCGTTAAACTAGTCTGCATTGAAGTTTGAATCTCTTTTTCCGTCGTTTTGAGTCTAAATTAGAACTTCACTTGAATTAAAAAATATATACTGTAGTGAATATGTGTTCCACGCTTGGTGAACAGAATCTACTACAGAAAACTAAGAAACTACGCGAAGGTAGATGCTTGTACGGATAAAGCATATACAGCTAGAAAATGGTAACCTTAAATATTGGATAAATCTTACGCTTTATTAGTTTAAACATACTTTGTTAATATACAAAGCAAGGCATATTAGTTGAAGCAGCAGCAGCAGCAGCTAGCCTATAATTAAACCGAAAACCGCAACATTACTCTCCGGCAAGCTATCTAGTACTACAGATGGAGGACCAGAGAACGCACACTGTTCAGCTAGTTCAAATCGAGGAAGAGGTCCAAGTGGATAAGTTAAGCCGAATTGAAGACTTGAAAATACCCTATGAATTTGCCATGGAGGATAACTGGGAAGATATGAAGGAATGTTGATAAAATTTTTACCACCTGTAAAATTAGGAATAAAAACAAATTTTTTTTTGGGGGGGAAACCTTGACGGTACGAGGGTAATCGTAGTATAGTCAGTTCTAGTAAGGTCGTTTTCTACAGAAATTGAATGAATAATTTATATCAAATCAAATCTTAATTAATTATTTAAAGCAAAGTATGACAAAAAGTTGACTTTGGAATGTAAAATAATAAAAACGAATTTAAAATAAATAGGCAAAATAAATAGGCAAAATAAAAGCAACTAAATTGTAAAAGAAAATAAAAGAAAACGATTCATGAAAACTAAATTGTAAAAGCATTAGGGTTTTGCCGTTACCTTGACGATCCTATATTGTTCGCAATTACTTATGATTTACACATGCTTATTTTGAAGGTTAGGTTTTCTTAAAGTATGCCTACTTGGACTCTCAACATAGAACGTTGGTTTATGTATCAGGACATTGCTTCATCGGTCGCAAAGACAATCTCTAGCCAACACCCTTCAAAGGACATGAGATGTAATTCTCTACATTGAATGAATATTAAATAAAACTGACTAGTTTGCTCTCAAGTTCGAATCTCCTTATCCGTCGTTTCGATTCTAGATCAAACTTCCCTCAAATTAATAAATATATATTGTAGCAAGACATGTGTTCCACGCTTGATGAACAGAATCTACTATAGAAAACTAAGAAACTAATTAAGCAAAGGTAGATGCTTGTACAGATAAAGCATATCAGCTAGAAAATGGTAACCTTCAATATTCAATCATTTTACGCTTCATTTGGTCAAAGATACTTAGTTACTACATTAAACAAAGAATATTAGTAGAAGCAGCAGCAGCAGCAGCTGGCCTATAATTAAAACGAAAACCGCCACATTGCACTCCAGCTAGCTAGCTAGTACTACAGATGGAGTACCAGAGAACACACACTGTTCAGCCAGATCAAATCGAGATAGAGTTCCAAGAGGAGGAGTTAAGCCGAATTGAAGAATTGAAAAAACCCTATGAATTTGCAATGGAGGATAACTGGGAAGGCGTGAAGGAATACTACAAGGAGAATCCGGAAAAATTGCTCAGGCCAATGACGCTGGATGGGGACAATGTACTTCACCTTGCGGCTTCTTGCGGAAGCAAATCACAAGGAAAAAGAGTCCTCGAATATTTGGTTAACATAAGCGAAAATTCAAGCAGCTATGAAAAGAGAATCTCTTTGAGGGTTCAGAATAATGACGGAAATAATGCTCTTCACCAGGTGGGTGTGTCCGGCAGTGTGGAAGCGGCAGAGTTCTTGGTGAGCAATTTCAACGAGCCTGTCAAAGTCAGTTTTACTATTGATGATGGAGACAATGATGCGCAGCCTTTGCTGTGGACTCGAAACCATTTAGGAGAAACTCCGCTCTACAGAACTGCTGCTCTTGGTCACACTGACTTGGTCAAGTTTTACGCTGCCATACTGGAGACGGACAATCCATACGTTCTTCCGATGCAGTTCAAGAGAAATGACAACATGTCCATTCTTCGTATGGCTGTCATCGCCCAACATTTTGGTCTCTCTCCCTCACAAATGCATACATTGATTCACAACACTTAATATATATGCAAATGCAGATTAATAACTTTTGCTCTTTTGTCTTCCACAATGCAGAGACTGCTCTTTGGTTACTAGAGAACTACAATTTTCTAGCACAACAGAGAGACGATGAAGGATTGACAAGCCTTCAATTGTTAGCCCAAATGCCAAGAGCCTTTGTGCCACAGTTTCAACAGAGCCAATGGAAGATGCTCATTTATCATTGTACATATCGTTACTCTACTGCTATGTATACGAGTATGCTTGTGCTTGCGCGTTTCTTTTTGAAGAAGTAATCTCAATAATTATATGCAGGCCTTCCCGGTGGAGGAGATGTGGTCACACCAAATCAGAAGGATGATATGGAGAGCAACATGGATAGCAACCATCCCCGTCAATCCATCTTTCGGAACAAGCTTGCAGGTGATCAAATTTGTAATCTGCTTTCATTTTTCGAATAAATTAAACGGCAAGCTAGCTAAAGCGTTTCTTGAATTGGATTTTTTTCGATGTTCCTAATGAAGTTGCATGCATAAAATGTTTAGCTTTTGCTGCGAAGGCATACTATTCACTATGGGACACACTTGCTAAAGGTTTGTTTACCTTCTGCCTCTGCCTCGGCATTTTCATCAAGACAAACTCTTCTTACTGGAACTCTAGAAAAGTCATTATGCACTTGTTTTTTATGATTTAACTCAAGAACATGAAGAGTGCATGGTGACTTAGTTGGAGTGCCGATAACAATGTACTAATTATGACACGTTAATGTATACATATGCCTAATCATGTGATGGATTGAAACAGGAGGCCTGCAGGGCGGCATAATATATAAAATCTGGAAGGACAAGAAAAACAAAAAATCACTAGAGAAACTCATCCCGATACTTGTCAAGTCGGACTATTCTTGGTTACGTAATAGCAGGAAACCAAAAACCAAGACCATTTATCTGGGGTCAGTGAAAGATGATGACGGAGGAAAAAAAGAAAAGGCAGCCGCACAAACAACTAAAACGGATATGGGAAATGGCGATGACGGAGGAGAAAAAGAAAAGGCAGCCGCACAAACAGCTAAAACGGATATGGGAAATGGCGATGAGGGAGTAAAAAAAGAAAAGGTGGCCGCACAAACAGCTGAAACGGATATGGGAAATGGCGACGATGGGGGTGAAAAAGGAAAGGCAGCTGCAGAAGCAATCCAACCGGATAAGGGGGCAACCAATAAAGTTTACAACTCAACCCCATTGCTTATAGCAACCGTCACAGGAATTGTTCCCATTGTGAAGGCGATACTTAAGCACCATCCTCAAGCGGCCGAGCACGTTAACTATAACGAACGCAACATTTTGCATTTGGCAATTAAGTACCGTCAGAAACCGATTCTTAATCTTATCAGAAGCAAACCAACTGTATTGTCGAGGCTGAATGAGAGGATCGACTGCGATGGAAACACCATACTGCACCAGGCTGCAGATAGGAGTTACTACACTATAGCACTGTCTCAGAATTTAATTGGTCCTGCCATGCAGTTGCAAGCAGAGCTGCGCTGGTTTATGGTAATGTTCTCTTGCTAGATTTATGTTGTCAAACAAATGCTTATGTTACCGAGTCTGTAGGTCGACTTGATAAACGTGTACTGTGTTTATGTCAGCGTGTGGAAGAGATACTACCGCCTCATTACAGCATGCACCACAACAAGAAGGAACTCACAGCAGAGGAGCTGTTCTACTATGAACATAACGAGCTTCTGAAATCGGCACAAGAGTGGATAAAAGAAACGGCTCAGTCATGCTCAACCGTGGCAGTGCTAGTGGCCACTGTGGTCTTTGCAGCTGCCTACGCCATCCCCGGGGGTAATGATCAAAATGGCCGTCCTATTTTCCAGGACGATCCTCTCTTTTTGCTCTTCACTTGCATGGACGTTGTGGCTATCGCCTGCTCATTGTCTTCAGTGGCTTTTTTTCTCTCTGTCCTCTCCTCTCCACTCGAGTATCCGCTTTTCATCAGCAGCCTTCCTCGCAAGATCATGACTGGATTCGTCTTGCTCTTCTTGTCCATGGCAACAACCATGCTTGCCTTTGCCGCCACCATTTTGCTCTTGATTCGTGTCGAGAAGAAATGGACCAAGTCTTTACTTTACCCCATTGCCTTTTTCCCAGTCCCTCTCTTCGGCCTACTGCAGTTTCCTATGTATCATTCTTTCAGAGTCATGTTTCAGAAAATTGATGCCTGGGTTTTGAACCCCTTCCGCTGCATTCTCAGCTTTTCCAAGAAGAGATCAATATGGGGCAAGCGTAAGGTGCATTGAATCACATATGTTTTTCGTCGGCGGCGCAGAATGTGTGGTTCAAATTCACAATCTTGCCGCATAAGTTATTGTTGGATTTGAGTTATCATTTGAATATTTCAGTTGGTTTCTTCTTCTTTTGTCCCCAATATAATGTCACAATTTTATTGTGTATTCGTTTAAAATATCGAGAAATTAGAAAGAGCAACGTGTTCCCTTCTCTGCACTCAAGTTTTAATCCGCCTTCCATTTTTTGGATTGGAATAGAAAATTATAATATGCTCGAATACTTTTACAATGTGCTCCTTATCAATTAATGGAATTTACATAAGAATAAATCAGAGCAAACTTGATGAAACACCTCAAGTATAATTCCACGATACTCATCGGAATTCATCGAAACGTAATAATTCAAGAGGCTACGAAGATCCTTAGGCTCTTCTATCCGGTTTGCCACTATCATCGCCGCCATGGACTCCCTGAAATCCTCCCTCGGATCATAAGAACACTTCTCCATTGCAACCATTACAACAAATTTAGTCCCTCCTCCTGCTTGAAGTTGATCATGATCGTCACCAGCTCTCTGCTTTCTTCTCCGATGATCAACGTGCCTCGATCCCTCCTGCCTTTCCCTGATCATCTGGTCGAGTCTCTCTTGAACCATGGCATGCGATAGGCTTGATATCGAAGGGTACCTATCGGAACTAGAGCTCGCTACTTCCTCCGAGCTAGACGAAGACACGCTAAGCCGGCAGCTGCTGCAACACAATGCCCTGCATACTCTCTGTTGCTGCTTGGAGGAGGCTTTCGTTTTAGACATGGTTTGAGTTGGAGATTTGAAGGAAGTTTTATGCCAAATTAATGATTTAAGCACAATTGGCAATTGTGGGGTCTGTTAGTCATGATTATGTCTTGTGTTTTATAACATTTTAAAAGATTAATTGGTGAATGCAAGAAGGCAAATGGGGGACATTCTTTTAGTTAATCGAGCCAGTAATCATGATGCTTAATAGTTTAAATCTATAGGGTCTAATTACTATTAGTTGGCACGTCCTTTTGAAGGGTTTGGTTAACACGAAAAGTAGTGCTTCCATTTCCACGAGAGTTTGTTTAGAAGTGCTCATACTAGAACCATGTCGAAATTTTTTAATTGAAAAATCACTTTGAAGTGTTTCTTCTTGAAGAAGAAGAAACACATCGCTTATTCTTTTTCCAGAAAGTGCTCTATGATCTATAAAGACATGGTTGTCAAAAAGGAATTGCGATACTCTCTGGATCTCTGTGTTCGGAGTTAACAGACCCGGAGATCCGACCACTCATTTTAAATCCTGCGATCATCATTAGTCCATTCGTTGGCTGATCTCGCACAAATCAAGGATCCGGATCTCTCTTTCTCATCAACGATCTGGATCTTTGGACCATTTGGCTTCAAACACAGAACTCCAGAGAAAATCTTGACTCGTCAAAAAGGCCTAGAGTGTTTTAGAATGGCTCGAAGATCAAAAGCAGTTAGGTAGAACATACTAAAAATGGTTTGGGCCATAAACTAATTTAAAAGAGGAAGATTCTTTTACGAAATTTTCGACATCCTTCTAGTAAAAGCACTTACGAGATGAGAATAATTCTTTCCTAAATATTTCCAAACATGTCCGAAACCCTATTGATTAAAGTGCTTATATGGTTTAGGTACAAAAAGTGCTTTTGCTAGAGTCTCCTTTAAGTTTTATATGATAAGATGAGGTGAATGGAGCTTCTTGCATCAAATTCAATTATATCCAATTTCTTGAATGGAGAGATTCCATGTTGCCCTATCCAATCCAATTATGCAGAAAATCAGACAAAGATTTACACAGCTGGTGACAATCTTCTTTTATGGATTCCGCCCTCTAATTTGGACACATAGCTAGCTCAAAAGAAGAAAACAAATCAAATTAAGTCGTTAATACAAGGTGTTTAGCATGTGATCTTACCAGTTTGGATTAGTGTGGATGATCATCTTTAATCCATACGTAGAAAAAGCATCACTTACTGGTAATCAAGTTGTTAAAACGAGACGACAGTGTTGCGATAATCATCATTAGTAACTGATAAAGTAAAGCTAAAAGCATAACAGCCTGATATTAAAGTGATGTGTAGGCTAATCATCACCATATCTTTGATAGACTTATTGCCTCACATGTGTTCATGAGTTGCCTTTCTTTCTGCCTTTCAATAGCTAAATTACTATTTATCTGCCACTAGTTTGTACAATAGTCGTACGGTCTAGCGCAGTGGGGAGTGTAGAAAATATTATTGTGCGGGTTAGTAAGAGTAGTGTGCAGTTGAGCATGTAAATTGACATTTTATTGAAAGTAAGAAAATATTATCCGTTGATGGATGCCAACAGTTTCTAAATGAGCATGTCAATTGATGTCAATAGTATGAAGGATTTATGAGCTTGGAGGGTTAGCTGACTCATTATGCCCCAAGGTAGATCCGCTCTTGGTTTGATAGTATTTTTTATTATTTATAAATGAGAAATTTTAGGTCCGATTTTCGTCAAAAATAAATTTCAACCAAATTATTATGACTAGCTTTTTGTAAAACTTAACCAACACTTCTACATTCTTAATGTAGATAATATCGTACTTATCCTACCTCGTGCCGCCTAAAGTTGCCAACTCAAATAAGGAGCACTCGAGGTCCAATTCTCATCCAACACATTTGTACTCACGGAAGATAAAATTATGACTCTAACCCACAAATTTTGGGTTTTGAATTAGGCCTAAAATTTGGTAAACCAAATGCTGGCCCAAATAATTGGGCCTTATAGTTTTATACCCAATTGCCAATCAACCGAAAGATCCGCGCTTCCGGAATATGCCAAGCACGTCTGGATTTCTGGCGCCCACCAACCACCGGAACGTTAGGTGTCTACAGTATACCTACTTAGAACCCGCCAACCAATATCCACTATCGTCTAGACCACCATAACATACCATACACCACCACCATCCGTGAATCTCGTCCGTCCAATTCCCCAAACACCCTCGCATCCAATGAGCGGGGAAGAGATCCTCTCCTAATCTCTTCCGCCTAAGCCTAGGGATTAAGTGATCCAGGCTCTTAAAATTTGATCAAACGGTTACAAGGTCCTTAAAATTTGATCCAATAGCTACAAACAGGAATCTTCTAAAATTATAATAATTGTAACCGTTGGATCAAATTTCAAAGGCTCAGATCACTTGATTGTTAAGTTTATATATGGGAGAGATCCGGAGAGGATCTCTTTCCCACTGAGCAACCTAACATTCCGCTCCACGGCGGAGAGTCCAATGATGTAAAATGACGTTCCTACCCTTGTCAACTCCACGTTTAAAAACCCGCACTCTCACTGTCAGCAGTCAAACGCCATCCGATAGATTTCACACTCCGTTCGCAGTCGTACCTAAAAACTCGAAGATCTCGGAGACACTGTCTGTGTTTTAGCCATGGCTCCAGCATCACTGGTTGCTAACGGCGGTGCGGCCGCCGCCGTCGAGGCAGTTCCTGCTCCAGTCACCGGCCGAGTCGCCTCCGTCTATAGCGAGGTCCAGGCCAGTCGTATCGACCATGCGCTTCCTCTCCCTTCTGTGCTCAAAAAGCCCTTCAAGGTCGTCGAAGGTCCCGCCAGCTCTGCCGCCGGCAATCCAGGTCAGTTTCTTCTTCTTCTTCTTCTTCTTCTGTGCTCGGATCCGTGCGTTTTTTGTGGCGTTTAATCTCGGAGAAATTCGACTTCTTTTTGTTGCCGCGAAAATCATGAAAAATAAAGATAAGATTTTGAAGTTTAATTTTAGCTGATTAGATTAGCGATCAGACAGACTGTAGAATCTATGCGTTCTTTGGATTTTCTATTCCGTTTTTTTATCGTCTCTCGTTTCGGTTTCTCAGAGGAGATCGCGAAGTTGTTTCCTAATGTTTTCGGTCAGCCATCTGCACTGTTGGCGCCAAGTGATTCCGTTTCGGGCCTACCGGAGCAGAAGTTGAAGATCGGTGTCGTTTTATCTGGAGGCCAAGCGCCCGGAGGGCACAATGTGATCTCCGGAATTTTCGGTGAGTGTCTTAATCATCAAAATTTGTTGTATTTTTCTTATACTTCATATGGTTTTTGAATTTTGGTTGAATTCGATCGGTGTTTTGGTGTTAGATTACTTGCAAGACCGCGCCAAAGGAAGCACAATGTATGGCTTTAAGGGCGGGCCTGCTGGGATCATGAAAAACAAATACATCGAACTTACCCCGGAGTATATTTATCCATACAGAAATCAGGTGAGTGTTTTGAGTGTGAATTTTTACCTCAAGTTAATTGTTGTATGGATCAATTATCTGGCACGAGGATGTGTGCGTGTCTATGTTTAAATTCTTGAGAGCAATGTGCATAGTACATGTACTTAGCTACATATATGCAGCTTTATAATATGTGGCTGCATTTTGGCAAGAAGATAATTGACTGTTGTTCATATTTTCGTCTTTCCAGGGTGGTTTCGATATGATTTGCAGTGGAAGGGACAAGATTGAAACTCCAGAACAGGTGACTCTTGGTTGGTTTGTGAGGAAATTCATGTTAAGTATATTTGTCTAACTATTGACAACTAACCATTTAAAATGGATATGGATTGTAGTTTAAACAAGCGCAAGAAACAGCTGTGAAGCTTGATTTGGATGGGCTTGTTGTTATCGGTGGAGATGACTCAAACACAAATGCCTGCCTCCTTGCTGAAAACTTCAGGTATCTTGTGACGAAGTTCATTGGAATTATTTTACTTGTCATTTGAAAAGTGAAGCCCATTGATCTAATTGTGAGAGGAATAGTTTACCTTTGTTTTGCACTCACTCTGTGCTTTTTCTTCTTTTTAAACATATTCTTTTGCGCAGCGTTTGTCTTTTCAGACAAACAATTCGGGTTTTGTAAACGTTTTGTTTTATCTGTTAAACCAGGGGGAAGAACTTGAAAACTCGTGTGATAGGTTGCCCCAAAACCATTGACGGTGACCTGAAATGCAAAGAGGTCCCCATAAGTTTCGGATTTGACACTGCTTGCAAGGTGGTGACTATAACTTTGAACTTTTTTTCTTTTTTTCACCATTAATAATATTGATAACTCAAATTGTACACCTCCATGTTGTATTGTTATATATTTTCATCTTTCCTATCACAAACATGAAAGCCCCCTTAATTCCTATACCTAAAATATCAGATGTAAATTCTTCCTAATCGCAGGAGTTCAATGAGCATTTAGACACCTTATTTGATACATTTAGCTAAAATTCACTGTTCCAGCGTAATTGTAATAGGCTGTTAAAAACTTTATGCAGATATATGCAGAAATGATTGGCAATGTCATGACAGATGCCCGGTCAACCGGAAAATATTATCATTGTAAGTAAATGACATTTCTGTAATGTTTCAAGCTTATGTTTTCAGTATACAATATAATTGGGTGTATGTGTATCTGTCTGCAGTTGTACGACTTATGGGACGTGCAGCTTCACACATTACATTAGAATGTGCTTTGCAAACTCATCCAAACATTACAATTATTGGAGAAGAGGTACTTTTATTATATTTTTTTTCATATTCAATTTGCCTATATCGTTTTGTTATTAATTAAATTGGTGTTGTGGGAACATTAACACAATAAGCATTGGTGTCTCTCTCACAACTTGATTGACACTTACTTTCTGATGTCCATTATGTATGCATGTGGAAAGTAAAGACCTTTAACTATATGGTGCAAAGTAATCTATTGGTGCCACCGAAAGATATCCAATTGCTTTTGCTGAATACATCTGACTTGTATCTTTCTTCAGGTTGCTGCAAAGAAGCTG